TGGGGGTGGAGGGACTAACAAGAGTCTGAGGCTGTCGCTCAGTGGTAGAGTGCTTGCCTAGCACACCAAGGGCCTGGAGTCCATCCCTGTCGCTGGGAGGTGGTGAGGAACCTGTATTGACAAGCCTGCTACAAAGTGAAACCCTGTGCAAAGAAACAGACTGGGTGGGCTGGAGAGACGGCTCAGTGGGTAAGAGCGCTTGCTCTTGCAGAGGACGCAGGTTTCCAACACCCACAGGCAACTCACAACTGCCTGTAACTCCAGCTCCAAGAAACTTGGTGCCCTCATGTGTCCTCTTATACTTTTGGTTGTGAGCCTAGCCTTTAACGACTGAGCTATCCCTCCAGCCCCTCATCTGTCCTCTGTAGGCACCAGGCACACAAAATAATGTACGGACATACATGCATGCAAAACACCCATCACATTAAAAATAATAGTAATAAGCCACAGAGAAAGCCTGTCTCGAGAACAAACAAACAAATAAATGTAATAAAGAATGGTATGGTGGCTCAGTAGGTAAAGGCACTTGCCTGATGGCCTGAGTTGGATCCCTGAGAACTGATTTCTGCAATTTGTCCTCTGACCTCTGTCTTCACGTACACAAATACAAATAACTAAATGGGAGTGGAGAGATGGCTCTTGCTGCAGCAGCTCTTGCAAAGGACCCAGAACCCACATGACAGGTCTCAGTCACCTGACACTTTACTTCCAGGGGATCTGACTTGCTCTTCTGGCCTCTGTGGGGACCAGGCCTGATACACGGACATACATGTAAACAAAACACTCACACACAAAGACACATAAGATATTTTGAAAGTAACTAGTAAATATAATAAATATGAGAGAAGGGGCTGGAGAGATGGCTCAGAGGTTAAGAACACTGACTGCTCTTTCAGAGGTCTTGAGTTCAATTCCCAGCAACCACATGGTGGCTGACAACCATCTACAATTCAATCTGGTGTATATGTAATAAATAAATAAATCTTTAAAATAAATAAATAAATAAATATGAGAGAAACTAAGGCACAAAGAGGATGTAAGCATCCTATCAGACCAACTATCAAGCAGTAGATCCAAGTATAAAAATAAAATGAAGGACCATGTTAGCTAGGGTGGTCTGAGAATTCCTAATAGTGAGAATGAGCAGCAAGTGATTTCCCAGAGAAGCCATATTCCATGTAAAGCAGGCAGCAAGTGCACAGCTCCCAGGTGCTGGAAGAGAATAAAGCCAGCACGGGTTCGAGAAATGACAGAAAGGAGGCTGGAAGATGGGGCCACCACACACGGCTGACAGGGCCACCATGCAGGGCCTCCTGAGCCACAGTAAAGATCTTAGGTTTCATTCTAAGCAGGATAAGCCTTTGGAGGTTTTAAGCAGAATAATAACTTGATCTGGTTTATGGCTGAAGATCATTTAGCTAGCTGTACCAAGAAAGAAATGGACAGGAGTTCCTTTATAAGCACCTCCGACGACTGTGGCTAAGCTTTTCTGGGGTGTGAAGAGGATGGGGCCGGGGATAAAGAAATAAAGAAGTCCATGATGCTAAAGGTGAGGAACTTGGCTTATGCCTAGGAAACACATGGCAACTTCATCATTAAATTGATTTTATTTTCTGAGATAAGGCACTGCTATATAGTCCAGGCTAGCCTCAGGATTGTATTCAATCCTCCTATCATACCCTCTCAAAGTAGACCTGATTAACTTTATTCAGTTCTGGGGATGGAAAGCTTTCACATATGTGTCTTAGTTCACTTTTCTGCTGCTGGGAAGTAACACAGCCAGGCAATTTATAAGTTTAACTTGGCTTAGGGTTTCAGAGGGTTCCTGTCCACGACGGTGTGAAGAGAGGTGTGGTGGCAGGAGCAGCTCACACCTTGGCCCAGCAGCAGGAGACAGAGAGCACAGGGGATCCTGCCAGTCTTTTGAAACTTCAAAGCCCAAGCCCAGTGATACACCCCCTCCAACAATACCACCCCTCCTAATCCTTTCCCAACAGTTCCACCAACTGGGGGCCACACACCCGAACGCGCAAGCCTGTGGGGGCCACTCTCATTTGAACCTCCAGTGGGTAACACTTGGGGTTGAAGTACATGAGCCCACATACATATTCTTTCTCTTTCCTTTTAAAAATTTACTTATTTTTATATTTTATGTACACTGGTGTTTTGCCTGCATATTTGTCTGTGCGAGGTGTCAGATCCCCTGGAACTGTAGTTATAAACAGTTGTGAGCTTCCATGTGGATGCTGAGAATTGAACCCAGGTCCTCTGGAAGAGCAGTCAGTATTCTTAACCACTGAGTCATCTCTCCAGCCCCTTTCTTTCCTTTTTAAAATTTGTTTTTTTTTCAAGACAAGGCTTCTCTGTGTAACAGTCCTGGTTGTCCTGGAACTCACTCTGTAGACCAACCAGGCTGGCCCCATAACTGCGCAGTTCCTTTTTTTAAAGACAGAGTTCTGGAATTCATTGCGTTCTCAAACTCAGAGATCCTCTGCCTCTGCCTCCTGAGTGCTGAGATTAAAGGTATGTGCCACCACACCCAGCTTTTTTTTATTTTTTATTGAGTGTTCTGCTTTCCTGTATGCATGTACAACAGACGTCTAGCGTGCCCAGTGGTTAGAAGATGGCTTTGGATCTCCTGAAACTGAACTGCTATGCCATGTGAGTGCTGGGAACTGAACTTGGGTTCTTAGTTGTTAATTGCTCCAGCCATCTCAAATACCTTAAAAAAGAAAAAGTATAGCAGGCTTTCTTGTACTGCCAGCTCCCAAATCATGACATGGAGACTTATTATGAAAGCTTGGCCTCAGCTTAGGATTGTTTCACTAGCTCTTTTAACTTAACCTGTTTTTATCCATCAGTTTGCCTTGGAGACTTTTACTTTCATTCTGTGCATCCTCCTGTACTGTTTCCTCCGTGTCTGCCTGCCCAGTCCCCAAAGCTGGCTGCCCCCCTGTCAGGCCCCTGTCTATCATTTTCTCTCTGCTAGCTCCACCTACCTGCCCTCTAACTGTCTATTGGCCATTCAGCTTTTTATTAGTTCAATCAGGTGCCTTAGGCAGGCAATGTGAAACAGCAGCACATCTTGCTACTGGCCATTCAACTCTTTATTAGATCAATGAGGTGCTTTAGACAGGCAAAGTAACAGCTTCACAGTTAAACAAATGCAGCATAAACAAAAGCAACACACCTTTACATAATTAAACAAATGCTGCATAAACAAATACATCTTCACATAGTTAATTATTCTGCAACACAAATAGATGCAACACATCTTTACATAGTTAAACAAATATTCTATTCCACAACAAAAGAGTGCAGATGTTTCCAGAGACCAGAGGAGGGCATCAGATCCCTTGAAGCAGAAGTTGCAGCAGGTATGAGCTGCCTGATGTGGGTGTTGGGAATTAAATTCAGGTCCTTCTAAAGAGCAGTCAACTCTCATAAGCTCTGAGCCACCTCTCCACTCCTCTAATTCCTCATGTACTCACAAGGATGGTCTTGAACTCCTACCCTGACTGCCAAGTGCTGAAATTACTGGCTTCCATTTTCAGCAGTGTCTGAGTTAGGGTTTCTATTGCTGCCATGAAACACCATGACCAAAATGCAAGTTGGAGAGGAAAGGGTTTCTTAGGTTTACACGTCAGCATTGCTGTGCATTATTGAAGGAAGTCAGGGCAGGAACTCAAACAGGGCAGGATCCTGCAGCAGGGGCTGATGCAGAGGCCATGGAGAAATGCTGCTTACTGGATTGCTCAACCCACCTTCTTAGCCAACCCAGGCCCACCAGCCCTGGGATGGCACCATCCACCACAGGCTGGGCCCTCCTCCCTCTCATCACCAGTTGAGAAAATGCCTTACAGCTGGCTCTCAAGGAGGCCTTTCCTCAGATGAGGCTCCTTCCTCTGATGACTCTATACAGCTTGTGTCAAGTTGACACACAAAACCACCCAGCACAAACTGAAAATTTTTGTGAAATATAAAAACCAGATTACTTCTTTCAAATCAAAGTGGAGGTTCCCTTGCCAAGTTACAGACATGTTTGAATGTGAAACACCCGTACAGGATTCCAAAAATTTCTCAATGAATAAAAGGATGCAGAATAGCTCATTAGCGTTTTTGTTATATTGAGTTAAATGTACTACTAAAATCAGTCTCATCACTTCTTGGCCTTTCTACACTGATCAATGTGAAAACCAATTTATCTATTCATTTACTTCCCCAAACTCAGAGTAAACCAGTCTGGCCTTGAACTCACAGACTCCTGAGTGCTGGGATTAATGATATTCACCACCACTCCAGGCGTTGTTTTGTTTCCTCTAAAAGACTTATTAGTAAAAAGTCTGCGGCTAGCATCATTTCCCACTGGAAATGAGACTACGGCAGGGTACAGGGAGCCAGGAAGGCCCGGAGTGAAGACTGCATTATATCGCCACAAACAGTGGCAGTTAATTTTTGGTTGTTTTTTTCGAGACAGGGTTTTCTCTGCGTAGCCCCGGCTGTCCTCGCACTCAAGAGCTCCGCCTGCCTCGGCCTCCGGAGCGCGCCACCGCGCCCGGCCCCGGAAGCGAATTTTCCAACAGGTTGGAAAACGTGTAGACAGGACCCAAACCCTGGTCCGTCGACGAACTTGACTCCTTTCAGACCGGGACTCCGTCCTGTATCCCCTCCCCGCCGCGCCATTTTGCCTCAGGGGTGACCCAAACGTTCGCCACGTTCACCAGCCTCCTCAACCGCGACCCTCGAAGCCAGGAATCGCTCAGAGCAGCTCCCGGAAACGCTCATCAGCTGACAGACAGACGCCAGAGCCGCTACCGCCGTTCTTCCCCTTTACGCTTTTCACACTGTGAAAAGCCCCGCCTTCCTTGTGCCACACTAGCCAATCACCTCTCAGAGGCCTACGTAAGCCCCGCCCTTTGAGCGCGGGTCAATCACTGCGAGTTCGGGTTCCGTTCTTTCTGCGCTCTTGAGTGAGAGTCGCGCGCCCCCGTTCGGCCGTTGGTGGCTCTGCTCTCTGTGGGGTGTGTCTACCGGAAGATCAGGACGGGGGCGGGTCACGCCGGTGCGGTAACCCTTGGGATTGGACAAGAGAAGTTCCGCGCTCTAACTCCGCCCACCCCGGCGCAAGATATTCGAATCGGTGACGCTAGGGATTGGTTCCGGATGGACACATTAGGAAGCTGAGAGATTGTCGTTCCGCCTCCCGTGAACCGTGAAGAGGGAGCTTCTCTGATTGGTCTGCGGGCAGAGGCGGGAGCCGGAAGACGCCTCAGGATTGGCTGACCGGGCTCACGCGCCGTCATAGATGCTTAGCGGCGATTGGCTGGAGGGTGGAGTCGGCTATTTGAAGGCAGCGCGCGGACCCGAGACGCTCTTTAGAGAGAAGAGTTGGAGTCGCCGAGAGGTACTGTCTCGCAGACCTCCTCTTCTCAGTCGCCATTGCCTCCGCAGGACACCGAAGAAGGCTCCACTGCAGCTGTGACCCCCTGGCGAGACCATGGCCAAGGTGTCGGTGCTGAACGTGGCTGTCCTGGAGAACCCGAGCCCTTTCCACAGCCCCTTCCGGTTCGAGATCAGCTTCGAATGCAGTGAGGCCCTGTCAGACGGTGAGGCTGGGCCTGTGCAGGGGACCCCAAGCCCTCGTGCCCTCGCTTTTGCCACCCCCAGTTTCCCCGGGAACTTGTCCCCTCGGCCAGCTGAAGGTCTCTTTGGTGATTTCCCCCATGGCCCAACTCCGACGCCTCGGCGGATACGACCCTGTGCGGAGGCGCCCCTCGTCCCGCTCCGCTTCTCCTTGGCGTCTTCCCAATGTTTAGACTGCAGTTTCGTGCCTGTTTCCGCGTAGGAAACCTCCCAGCTACCCCTCTCTTCTGTGGGAGCCCAGCCTCCAAGACCCTCCCCCTACTTTCCGGTGGACACCATTTCCGCAGACCAGCAGACCCTCCTGTTGTCACCCTGTCTGCCCATGGCAAGACCTCTTCCACCCCATTTGTGTCCCAACAATACCTTCCCCAGACGACTCCACATTTGTCCCTAGCAACTCCTGCTCGCCAACTGTAACGTCACGGCTGTTGACCAGACCAGGGCCTCTTTTTAGGTTAGTACCAAATGCTACGCATGGGATGGGATCTTCTGGCTCCAGTCTTTTAGATACCTTGGCCTTCCCAGCTCCTGGGATTGGATGCACACTCGGGTTCGAGGTGGTACAGCCAGGCAGGCCCCTGCCAGTTTTGAGATTTCTACCAGCTTCCAGCAGACTCAGTGCAAGGAGTCCCTCATTCCTTTTGGTGGGCTGACCTGGTCTGGGGAGTGAGTGGACTGGGCAAACAGGGATGGGGTTCAACTTCAGTCAGCTGGGGAGGGAGTCACTGGCTTCTGTGACTCACAGAATGACTTAATTCATCTGCAGAATATAAAGGTGGACATAGCTCTCATCTTAGATGACAGGACAGGGGCCACAAAGAGAAAAAGACCTTTGAAATAGTCTGTGAACACATGAGGTCACTTTGGAGTCTCAGCTCCACAGCAAGGCAATGTAGTATGTTTAATAAAAACCCAGAGACAGATTTTGAGGTTAAAGCTGAAGATCAGAGAAGCAAAGTGGCCAGCCACTGGCTCTTCCCTGTGCCTCAGAAGGAAAGGGCGATCCTGTGTGCAGATTGCATCTCCAGGCTTTGCTGCCCCTCAGACTGCACACCCTTGCCGCCTCCCGCCTTGTGTTCCTCTCTAGTGCTGGGATTAAAGGAGTAGGATCCCAAGTGCTGAGATCACCTTTGTGTGAGCTCTTTCTCAATTTCATGTAGCTCAGGGTGACCTTGAACTAACAGTTCTCTCTGTCTCCCAAGTGCTGGGATTAAAGGTGTGTACCACCACTGCCTGGCCTCTATAGCTAGCTACTGTGGCTAGCCTTGCACTCTGGTCTTCAGGAAAGCTTTGTTATATCACAAACAAAATATTACCACAAGGCAAGCCCTGCTTTCAGGACGAAACACTTGTCATTTCCTATTGAGGGTTGAAAGGTGGAGCTCTGAGAGGCTAGGTTGTGACAACTGGTGCCTCTTGGTGGCTGTTGGTTGGTGTTCAGACATATTCAGCCTCTTCTGTTCACTTGGAGCTGCTATATTGTGTGCTTGGGGTGGACCACTGGCTCAGCCTCCCTAGTTTCTCCTTAAGTTTAAAAGAATCTACTTGTGACTAACTATAGAATAAGCTGGGTTAAATCCTTGCTAAAACAAGGCAGAGTGTGAATAAATAAGTAAAAGGTAGGGTGACAATGTGGGATAAGATTTATTTGGAAGCCAAGTGGAGACAAGGGAATCACAGTTCCCAGACATTGAGAGAGCAGGTTTCATTCAGCCTGAGTGTGCTCCTTGCATTTAAAAATGGTTGCATGGTCATTGCTTAATATTACTTGGATTCCTTATTTATAGAATTAGGACATCAAGGCTAAAGTCAGCTGCTGGCCACTTTAATAGGAGCAGGGTGATTTATCCAAGTCAACCAGACAGTAAAGTGTTACCACTGAAGTTTATTTCTGAGTTCAGATTGTTTTTTAATTTTATTTTTTGAATTAAATTTGTCTGTGGGTGTGGACTAGAGACAACTGCTCTTCATCGCTCTGCACCTTTTTTTAGGATTTTATTTTATTTGTGTGTGTGTGTGTGTTGTCTGCATAGATTTATGGCACCACTTGAGTGCCTGGTACCCACAGAGTTTAAAAGAAGGAGCTGGATGTCCTGGAACTGGAGTTACAGACTTTGGGAGTCACCATTCAGGTGGTGGGAATCTACCTGGCCTCTTCGAGAGAAGCTAGTGCTCCTAACCCATGGTCTGTATGGTCTGTCTCCAGCCCTGTTCTACCTATTTTGGTGTCTCTACAAAACCTGAGCTCCAACACTGCTAGGCTGGCTGCCTAATAAGCCAGGGATCCACCATCTCTTCCTTCTTAGTAGTGGGGTTTTCGTTTCTTTTTTGTTTGTTTGTTTAAGATTTATTTATTTATTACATATACAGTGTTCTGCCTACGTGCCAGAAGAGGGCACAAGATTGATATGTAGATGGTTGCTGGGTATTGAACTCAGGACTGCTGGGTGAGCAGTCAGTGCTCTTAACCTCTGAGCCATCTCTCCAGCCTCTTTTGTTTGTTTTTTGAAACAGAGTTTCATTACATAGTTCTGGCTGCCTAGAACTTGCTATAAAACCAAGCTGGCCTTGAACTCACAGATCTTTGATCTGCTTATCTCTGCCTCCCCAGTGCTGGGATTAAAGGCATGCACCACCACACTTGACACACACACACACACCCTGTGTTTGTGTATTGGGGTGGTGTATGCATAGGAGTCCCTGGATGATCCTCTATAGTTAGTTTGAGCCTCCTGACATAGGTGTTAGGAATCAATATTGGATTTTAACCTTGAGCTATTTCTCTAGCAGCCTGAACTCAGGCTTTCATAGGAAACACTTTATCTGCTGAGACGTCTAGGCAGCTCCTAGATTCCTTATCTTTTCTCAGTCCTAGAAGGGAAGAAAACTGTTTACTTGTAGGTCTTTTTGTTTATGTGTATTTTGCTTGCTTGTATGTATATATACCACATGCACATCTGGTGCCTGCAGAGGCCAGAAGAGGTTGCCAGGTTCCCTGAACTGGAAATAGAGACAGTGTGAGCCACCACATGGGCCTGGGAATCAAACCTGAGTCCTCTGTAAGAGTAGATAGTGTTCTTAAATGCTGAGCCATCTCTCCAGTCCTTACTTGTAAGGTTTGTTTTTGATTTTTGTATTTTTTTATCTGGAGGGGGGTAAGGGTTCTGTGTGTGTGTGGCATCTCTTGTTTTTGTGTAGAAATCAAACCCTGGATCATATACATGCTCAACAGTGGCTCTTCCCGTTGAGCTGTGTTGCCAGCCCAACAGAAGTTTAGAAGTAGAACATATTAGGAGTGGCCATAGAATTTCTTGTCAGCGGGACTCTTTGAAAAGATGGAAGAGGGCACTTCTGCTCCAAGTTATGCTGGTTGACTCTGTTGTATACAAGATACTCTGACTGACATGCAAGATGGCTTCCTCTTCTTCTTGGCCTGATTTCCATGAGTCATGAAGAAGTCGCTTCCTTATATTTTGACACTATCTACTGAAACCTGACAAGCTCCCTTCAGCCCTGGACAACTACCCCCCCCAAAAAAAAAGCCCAAGCCCTGTGGTCGCCTCTGACCAGCATCTGCAAGAAGACAGTTCCAAGGTTTGGGTCAGCATTTAGAGCATTTGACCCAGCTTTGCTCTTTTTCAGCTGAAAATTTCAATAGGCACCAGTTGAATAAGTCAAAGAAACCAGATTTTGTGCACCAAAGTTGACCTGTATAATGAACCAAAGGCTAGGCAATAAATATACCAAAGTTTACGAAAAGAGAATAGTGTGCACAGGGATACCCTAACATTCAAATAGATGCCTGAGCTACATAGGGAAACCTGGTCTTAGAGGAACAGTAATTCTGGCACTTAGGTGTGAGGTGAGGAGGGTGATGACAGGAGGATTGGAAGTTCAAGGTCAACTTTAGCATCGTGTTAAGTTCCAAGTTAGTCTAGGCTGCCTTAAACTCTCTCAAGAAAGCAAGCAAGCAAAGACCAGTGCATGGTGGTACACACCTTTAATTCCAGCACCAGGAATCAGAGACAGGTGATTTGCAGGGCCACATAGTGAAACCCTGTTTCAAGAAATAAAGGAGGGAGAAAAGGTATGGGCTGAGGGGTAGATCATTAATGACACTTTTGTCTAGCATGTGTGAAGTTGTGGGTTTTGTCCCCAGTGCTGCCTAAAATGAGCTCAACTTACTTATCTCGATAATTTTTACATGTCTTTAGTAATGTTTTCAGCTTTGGTTTTGTTTTTCCCAAATAGTAAAAGGTGTATCTTAGCAGGGGTCATCATGACTTTGGACATCAAAACAAAAGAGCATTGGGCTAGGGAAGTGGCTTCAGTGGGTAAGTGTTGTGGAGACAAGAGAACCCCCAGAGCTCTGTGTCTGCTGACATGTGCTGTACTTAAGGTGGTCCTTTATCTTCATACACCTCATGACTCAGGCACACCCATATTCACGTGCATGTAAACACATTATACACATACTGAAAAACAAAAATAGTGGGCACTTTTAGTCCTAGTACTTGAGAGGGAGAAGCAAGAGGATCTTTTTGAGTTCAAGGTCAACCTGTTTTATACAATGGGATCTTGTCTCAAAAAAAAGAGAAACCCAATCCTCTATTTGGTCAGTGTGAGTTTATACTGTATGAATGACTGATGGTTCAAACCTACTTTTGAAGAAATAGTCCTCACCATTGGCTCAGAAACCCCTCAGGTGCTCAAGGGCCTTGTACGTAGAACCTGCACATAAACAGAGTCTCCAAAAGACATTTATTCGTATGTTTTTGGGTTTTTTTTTGAGGGGGGCAGGATCTATGAAGCCTAGGTTGGTCTTGAACTTAATATGTAACAAGAGTCTAGTCTTTACTTCCGGATCCTCCTACCTGCATCTCCAAAATGCTAAGTTACAGGTGTGTGCCACAACAACCAGCCCCTCTCTATAGACCTACTACTCATCTACAAGTGACTTTGTTCTTTTTCCATTTTTTAGGGAAGACTAGGCACACAGGTTGTATACAGTGGAATTCCTAGGTTGATGTTGGCAATAATCTTCAGTTGCTCTTCTTTCTTATTCATTGAGACAGGGTCTCTCAAACCCAGATGGTGATGGTATGGCTAATCTTACTAGCTGATTTGTCGTAGGGATCTCTTATGTCCACCTTCCAAGGCTAAAGTTAAAATAGGTGGGATACTGTGCCCTTTTCACATGCTCACACAGAAGCACTGTAATTACTGAGCAGTCTCCTCAGCCCTATGTGACTTATTCTTAGTGTCAGTGATGTAGAAGTAACTGTTTTACTAAATTGTTTAGAGAATAATTCCAGCACTAGAGAGGCAGAGTTATGTGGATCTCTGAGGTTGAGACCAGTAGGGATAAATAGTGTGAGAATACATGACAAAAAAGAAAAGTTGTATGTATTCATGTTCAGTACAGACTTGTTTTTGTGTTTGGCCCTGGGGATGGAACCCAGGCATCACGCGTGCTAGAGGAGCACTCCATCCCTGGGCCATGCCTCCAGCCCCAGATTGATATTTACTGTCTGTGGTGATTGGTGGAGTTTATGGTTACAGAACCATAGGTGCTAAAAGCTGAGTATATAGGCCAGGTGTGGTGGCACAAGCCTTTAATACCAGCACTGAGGAAGCAGAACTCTGTGAGTTCGAGCTCAGCCTGGTCTACAGAGCGAGTTCCAGGACAGCCAGGACTGTTTTACAGAGAAACCCTGACTCCAAAAAAAAAAGTTGAATATATTTTGAAATGAAATCTTGAGTTTCTCTGTTGTGTGAGGAAATGACTCAGGGAGGACCTGACTTTGACTGTTCATCACTCAGGTAAAATTAGGGAGGGAGAAGTAGGTACAGACCAGTGGATTCCCAAGGCTCACTGGCCACCAGCCCAGCTGACACAGAAAGCTCCAGATTCAATGAGAGACTCACATGGGCTCACACTTGTATTCCTAATACTTGGAAGGCTTGCAGGAACATTGTGAGCTCTGGACCAGTCTGTACTACACAGGAAGACCCTGTTGTTTGTTCCTTTGTTTCTACATGTGTTATGTGTGTGCTAATGCATGTAGAGGTCAGAGGACAACTTGATGGGGTTAGTTCTCTCCTTTCCTCCCCATGTGTTTTCTGGAGATTAAGCTTGGTCGTTAGGTTTCCTGGCAAGTGCCTTAACCCTCAGAGCCATCTCTCAGGCCCAGCCCTATCTTTTTTTTTTTAAAGCTGTGTTTCACGTGCTGAGATTAAAGGCATGTACCAGTGTGATTCTATCTTTTGAAGAAAGAAAATATAAAATAGAACTTTATCAAATTTAAAATTATTGCAGTTTATAGGCCCTTTGTTTCAGGCATTTGTTTTCACAGATGGTTTGATCAACTCTACTTTTTAGTCAGTATTTTATGTGGTCTTTGTGAATTCTTGAGTCTGTCTGGCCTATGGCAAGAAGGAGCTTCACTGTCTACTTGCTTTCCACATACACTTCGCAGACTAAGCAAGGTCAGGTGCCTTGGGGACACAAAGGACTGTCCTGTGTCAAGCCTTCCTTCCAGCATATTAATTAGATGTGTGAATATATGACTCCATGAGTTTTGGGGAAAGGGCCTGAAGTTTGACAGAGCATCTTAGCAATTAAGAGCTGTCCTTCCAGAAACATTGATTCTTTTTTATTCTTCTTTTTGGTATTTCCAGACCGTGCTTCTCAGTAACTATGGAGTCAGTCCTAGAACTCGCTCTGTAGACCAGGCTGGCCTCAAACTCACAGATCTGCCTGTCTCTGCCTCCCGAGTGCTGAGATTAAAGGCGTGCGCCACCAATGCCCAGCCAGAAACACTGGTTCTCATGTGTCACTTATTTTTACAAAACTAATGCATGGGGCTCTACAGCACCTTTTTGGTATGTGCAGGCCCTGAGTTTCATCCCCAGCACTGCAAAGAAGTAAATAGCTAGGGGCAGCTAGAAAGATGGTTCAGCAGTTAGAAAACTGATCATTTTTCCAGAGAACCCAGGTTCAGTTCCCAGCACCCACATGGTGGTTAACAACCATCCAGTTCCACCAGCCCCAAAACCATCTTCTGGCTTCCATGGGCTTGAGGCACCAAAGGGTACACAGACATACATACATGCAAAACACCCATACACGTAAAAACAACCTTTGGAAGAACACTTAGGAAAATAAAGCTTAAAAAATGAAATATTGTGCTCACTTCAGCAGCATACATACTAAAATCAGAATGGTACAGAGAAGATTGGCATGGGATGACATGAAAATTCATGAAGCGTTCAAAAGAAAAAAAAAGGAAAAAATGTTATAGCTAAATAAAATTTCCCAGAGATGCTAAGGCTAGAGTTTGAACCCTGGTGAACCACAGGCATGGGGGCACCTAGAAGGACCTAGGTGGAACTGTAAGGGACAAGGGAGTGGGTGTATTGAGGAAGGCTTTGGGGCTCACGTGACAAACCTCCATAGTATTATCTGGTGTCAGTGTGCTTCCAGTGTTAGCTGCCTGTGCCTCACTGGACCAAGGGCCAAGCAGCTTCCAAGAGCATGCTCCCTGTGAAAACCTCAGCTTGTGCAATTTTTCCCAGCTGCTGGAGTAGTTAGTGGTTGTGTAATTTCAAAGAGTCTAAAATAAGTTCTGGGTCTGAGGCCAAGCTTCTCTGTACTAGCATGACCTTGGCCCTCCTGCAAGAGGCTGTGGACACCAGGGATTGCCTGAGATTGCTTTCATCTCTTTTGGGTTTACCCCAGGACTGAGCCCCCTTAATGGTGGAGCGCCAAGTCAGGTTTTGGAGGTATGCCCTGTCATGCAGCATTTGCTAGCAGAGTCTGTCCCACAAATGTGCACAAGTAGGCATGTTGTTGGTACCAGATGTGGATAACTTTGGGGCAAGTTGATTCCTCCGGCAGCTTTGCCTTTCCCCTCCTGCCACCTGGCTCTCCTGCTGGATTGGAATCTGCCACTCCGCCCCAGTTGTCGAGGGATCTGCTCTACTTGGTGGCACCAATCCTGTAAAAGAGGCTGCTTCCTATCCAGAGACCAGGGTCCTTGAGTAGCCCAACTCCCTGCTCCTTCCACGAGCCAGTGTCACAGGACTCTTGAGTCAGCCTATACTATATGGTTCCTCTCTGCTACTGAGAAGCCTAAGTTTCCCTGGAAGGCCAGAATCAAGGTCACCTGGCCCAGTTAGGCTTACAGGAAAAATGTCTCCACTAAAGTAGAGCTACATACTTGATCTAATTCAGGACTGTGGTGCTTGAGCCTACTGTCCAGCAAACACTTAGTACATACAACCTTCTAATATATTGAGATGTGCCTAAAAATAACAGGAAGACCCTTGCCTTGCTCTCCAGCTACTGTTAGTCCTCAACGCCCCCCCTTTTCTGCTTGCAGACCTGGAGTGGAAGATCATTTATGTTGGCTCAGCTGAGAGTGAGGAGTTTGATCAGATCCTAGACTCAGTGCTGGTGGGCCCTGTCCCTGCTGGAAGGCATATGTTCGTCTTTCAGGTAAGGAGGTACCTTGATTTCTAGAAATGTTTCAGTCTGGAGATGAAGCCCAGGGCCTGACATATACTAGACATACATTCTACTACTGAGCTACTAGAACATTCCTCTTTTACCTGAAAGCACCCTGGTTTTAGCAGTCAGGTTTAAGTTCAAACCTGAACTTGAGCTGGTACTGGTGACTCAGTTCTTTTTTGTTTGTTTGTTTTTGGTTTTTTGAGAGAGGGTTTCTTTGTGGCTTTGGAGGCTGTCCTGGAACTAGCTCTTGTAGACCAGGCTGGTCTCGAACTCACAGAGCTCTGCCTGCCTCTGCCTCCTGAGTGTTGGGATTAAAGGCATGTGCCACCACCACCCAGTGGTGACCCAGTTCTTTAATCCAGCTACTCAGGATGAGGCAGGAGGACCACAAGTTCAAGACCTGCCTAAGTCATGCGTCCTGGTTGACTGCCAGGGACGTCTATTCTTCAAGGATCGCTACTCTAGATTCACTCCACCTCTGGGTCACAGCTCTTAGTGACTTCTGGGCCACTAATTTATGATCTTTTCACAGGAATTGTATGATACCAAACCCGTGAACAAGGTTCATGGATATTAAACTACTCCCCTCAAGGATTACAGGGTTTTGTTGTTACTTGTTCATCAGTCAGAAATGAGCATATACCTATAAGCCCAGCACGCAGTTTGGAATCAGCCTGGGCTATGCAGCAAGACTGTGTCTCATTTTTTTTTTTAAAGGATTTATTACATATACAGTGTTCTGCCTACATACCAGAAGAGGGCACCAGATTGAATTGTAGATGGTTGTGAGCCACCATGTGGTTGCTTAACCTCTGAGCCATCTCTCCAGTCCCAAGACCCTGTCTCAAATACCTTACTAGTAAATGTTGACTCATGAAATCAGCCAGTAGCACTAACCATATCTGAACTAAGGTCACCCAACGCAGATTTTCTTCATAAGCTGCTTTTACACAGGCAGCACTTCATCATTTGGGGATCTTATTTATTTTGTTGTTTACTGTATGATGTAAATCTTTACTCATTGATTACATTTTAAGACATCTCAATAAATAAATCATTTGGCATCGGTGAACTAAATATTTGCATATATAATGAAGAATCAAGCAAGCTCAATTTCTACTAAAGGTGTAGCTGAGTTTAGTAGAAGTGTAGCTCAGTAAGTGGAAGGCTGCAGTAGAAAGATTGCTTCAGGTTCAAGGCTAGCCTAGGCTACACAGTCAAATGCTGTTAAAATAATTAGGCAAGGTGTAGTACACCTTTAATCTGAACACCTAGGAGGCAGAGACAGGCAGATCTCTGAGTTTGAGGCCAGCCAAGGCTACATAGTGAGACCTTGTCCCAGTGAACAAAAAAATAAAAGGGAGTTCATATTCTGCCTTGAGATTTTGGTAATGTGGCAAAGAAAGGTTCCAGAGGGTTCCATTCATGGTTGCTAAGCTCTATGTTTCTAGGCCAGGAGAGAAAATACTGTGGTAGCTGGAATGTGTAGCAGAACTGTTGACATTCTGACAGACAGAAATCAAGCTCACCGTATGAAACTCCTGAATTTCAGCACTAGGTAGACAGTCAAAGGGTTCTTGTACTCCATATTGAAGCAAGAAGGCCAAGTAGCTCCTAGTTTGGCCCCATGTTGGAACCTGAGCACTGGGTTTTCCTTACTTTTTACACATCAGTAAATAATTATGAAAGTATCACACTTGTTGATTTTGAAGTTTCTAGACTTGCAAATGGTGCTGTGTCCAGTCCAGTGTCACTAAGGCTCATTGGCAGGTGCTTAGGAAGTCATGATCCATTACCTCCCTCCTATTATTTCAAGCTACCTGTTCCCCTCACACTCCTGCTCCATGTTCACAGCCAAGGCCTCCTTCCAGAGCATGTAGCCTGGCCATTGAACATGGCCCCACTGGGGATGCTCTGCTCTGTGTCATGGATTTGGTTAGTTGTACATGTTTTCATGTGTATTGGTTTCATACAACACAGCTGCTCCATCCAGAGCCACACACCCTGATCTGTGATTCTGTTCTCTGTTGCTGGGCTTTCAGGATGACTCCTGCCTGGCCTCCCTGCTTCTGCTACAGCCTTCTGCAGCCAGACCTCCACAACCATCACTCTTTTCAGACCTTACCTCCTCTAGACACTGCTCTTTCTCAGGCCCTGAATTGACCCAGTAGGCCTGGGCCTGCCTTGTATCCACCTGACCAACTCCATCTCATCAGTTCCTTTATGCACTACACTCTACCTGAGCACCTTGTCTCCTACTCAAATTCAGCAGTTTTGAATTTATTTTTTTCCAAGGCAGGGTTTCTCTGAAGTTTTGGAAGCTGTCCTGGCTCTTGATCTGTAGACTAGGCTGACTCAAACTCACAGAGATCCGCTGCCTCTGCCTCCTGAGTGCCATGATTAAAGGTGTGCACTACCACCGCCTGGCTGAATTTATTATTGTTACTAGGACTAAGGATGGAAGATAGGGCTCTGCATGATGAACAATCATGTTGCTGAGTCAAATTCACAATGTCTTCACAGTTACCTGCATGATCAGTTTGTCTAGTCCTAGTTCTTAGGTCATCTTTGAGTCATGATTGGCAGTGCTAAAGCCCAGGATGTGTTTCCCCAGGCTGATGCCCCAAACCCATCCCTCATTCCTGAGACAGACGCCGTGGGTGTGACTGTGGTTCTCATCACCTGCACCTACCATGGACAAGAGTTCATCCGTGTGGGCTACTATGTCAACAATGAGTACCCAAACCCAGAGCTTCGGGAGAACCCACCCCCAAAGCCAGACTTCTCACAGGTGAGCTCTGTCTCTGCATTTCCTGCTTTAGACAGGACAGTTCCTTTACAGCTGAGGGGGATGGGAGCCCAGGTCAGTGAAGGTTAACAGGTCATGCTGTCTCTGAGCTAGAGCTAGGATAGAGCAAGTCTTTTCTTCCTGAGGTATGCCTGACAGGATCAGAGCTAGAGCTAGGGGGAGTGTAGCACACTGTGATCCCAGCACCCCAGTCCGAAGAAATCTGAGCTGCAAGTATTGTTAGGAGACTAGCCTCCTCTGCATACTGAGTTCCAGACCAACCTAGGCTGCACAGCAGGACCCTGTTTCCAGGCTCTGTGTGTGTGTGTGTGTGTGTGTGTGTGTGTGTGTGTGTGTGTGTGTGTGTTCTTGCAAAGGACCTAGGTTTGATTCCTAGCAACCACATGGTGGCTCATAGCCACCTTTAATTCCAGTTTCAGGGGATCTATACCTTCTTCTAACCTCCATGGGGATTAGGCACAAATGTAACAAATAGACATATGTATAGGCAAAACATTTATACAATAAAAATAAAGATTCTTTTTAATTAAATAGGCTGGAGAAAGGACTTAGCAGTTAAGAAACTTGCTGTTCTTCAGAGCTTAGGTTCAGTTTTCAGCACCCACATGGTGGCTGTTAATCCAGTTCTAGGGCATCTGTGCCCTCTTCTGGTCACCAAAGGCACCAGGCACACACATGATGCACAGATAAATGTATAACCAGACACCCATACACATAAAAGTTTTTAAAAATCATGCTAAGCATGGTAGTGCACACTTTTAACCCCAGCACTTTGGAGACAAAGGCAGGCAGATCTCTGAGTTCCAGACTAACCTGGTCTACATAGTTGAGACTCTCTCAAAACAACCCAAAAAACGAATGAACAAGCCAAGCAAAACCAGTATGAGGAAGGCCCTGTTCCTACTCCATGTGTACAAGCATCTTTTGAGCTCAAAGTGGAGGTCTGAGGGAACCGTGGCCCTTAGGTGATAGGGACTGACATTCTTCTTGTTCCAGTTACAGCGGAACATCTTGGCTTCTAACCCCCGAGTGACCCGATTCCATATCAACTGGGACAACTCAGACAGGCTGGAGGCCATAGAGAACCAGGACCCCAACCTGGACTTTGGCCTTCCCCTCAATTGCACTCCCATCAAAAGCCTGGGCCTCCCTAGCTGCATCTCTGGCCTCCTCCCAGAGAACTCCATGGACTGCATCTGATGGGGGCCAGGCTGGTCCTAGTAGGACCATGGCCAGTCTCCTTGCACACCTGGAGGAGACCTACAGGCCCTCATACTTGATCATCTCAAGGATTTGGGGGCCACCAGCTGCCTCCAGACCTGTCAGCCCCAAGGAAAATATGGACCCCAGCCTCTCAGCTCAGGCCCAGAAGAACCATCTCACTCCTGACCCACCAGCCTCTAAGAAGCAGGTACTCATTATGCTCATTCTTTGTATCATTTTTCCTTCTACACTCTCAGTGCCTCTGAGAAGCTCTCTGAACATCACCTTTCATGAGGCTTGTTTGGGTGATGCTTGGCTAGCCTTTGGCTAAAGGCTGTCACTCCTTGTCACTCCAGTTCTCAGGGTCTCAGGCAAGGAAGACTGTTTAAAAGGCAGACTTGGTACCACTACTGTCCTTCCAGGGTATCTAGGTCATTTAGTCTAACCACTGCTAGAAAACTCTCCAAAGGTAAGCTCCCCTGGCCATGAAGGGATGGCAGGTACTTTGGTCACAGCCACCTTCTAATCTCGTGACAGAGCCTGGCTTTCTGAGAGTGTTGCTTTGGGTAGGAGGCATGTTGGAGGTCCTGCTTCGTGGAGTCATCAGGGTTTGCTTTGATGACATGTTCTCATGAGCTACCCAGTACTCCAGGATAAGAAGGCATTGGCAGGCTGACCTGAGAAACTTCACTCCATCTACCCTTACCCTAAGCCCTGGGTCCCCTTGCTGCTGCTACATGGATGCTGTTGTGATTGCAATGTGTATATGAAAATGCTTTTATATTAAAAGTTTTGGTTGGTTTAAAAATAAAAGCACTTCATCTAGATTGTCTGGTTCTGCCTTTTTTCTGTCCCCCTGGGATGCCTAGAACTCTTTATGTAGAACAGGCTGGTCTTAACTCAGAGATTCACTTGCCCTTGCCTCTGGGGTGCTACATCAAGAGTGTAAAACACCATAGATGGAGTTTTTTTTGTTTTGTTTTGTTTTTCCTGAGACAAGACTTCTCTGTGTAGCCTTGGCTGCCTGGAACTTGGTTGGCCTAAAACTCGGAGATCCACCTGCCTCTGCTTCTCAAGTGTCGGGGTTAAAGGTGTGTCCCACCAGTGCCTGGCCTAAATCCACCTGCCTCTGCCTCCCAAGTGTTAGGATTACAGCTGTGCCCCACCACTCCCAGCTTAGAACATATCTTATGTGTTTGGATATTTTGCCTGTATGACTGTCTGCACCACTTGAGGCCAGGTGTTTGCAGAGGCCAGAAGAGCACTTTGGAGCTTCTGGAACTAGAGCTACAGAGGGTTTGTAAACCTCCATGTGGGAGCTGGGAATTGAACCCATATCCTCTGGAAGAGCAGCCAGTGTTCAAGCCATCTCTCTAGCCTCTGTAATTTATATATACTGTTTCTTTGTCCTGCTGTGTGAGTGGCCTCTTGTCCTGAAAGTGGCTGGTCCTTCTCTTGCTTGCTTCCCTGTTAGTCTCATCTGATTGTACAGTTTGCACCACAAGCTGAGGCTCAAAGACTGTTTTGCTTCACCCAAGCTGAAGTATACCAGCTGTTCAACTGATGACCTTGACCCACAGGCATAGAGCAACATTGTGATCAAGGACACACAGCCACAATCTCCATCATTTCACTTAGCTATGGTGTGACTCCCTGAAACAGAGGTGGGCCATCTGGCTGTTCAGGCAGTTCCCATAATCCACAGGAGCCCTACTCTGGTCTAGTAGCAGGAGTGCATACAGTTGCTGGCTTAGAAAGCCAGACATGAACTGCCGAGCACAGCCTTGAATCTATGGGGTATGCTGCTCAGGACCAGCTAGGCCAGTTACCCTTTATCGTCAGGGAGAGCTAGCCCATTGCCCCTCAGCACCTTCCACCCTGGCCACCCTCTACTGCAGAGGTTCTCTGGTGGGAGTGGGGTTAATTTTGTTTCCCAGAGTACATTTAACAGTGTCTGGAGATGGTTTATGTTGCCCCAGGCAGCAGGAAGATAGAAGTAATACCAGCGTCCAGTGTGTCAGGGTGAACACCAACCTAGTGTGTAGGGGACCCCTCCAGCCCGAGGTCAGTGGCACAGTGGGAAACTGACCATATGTTCTGGCAACGCAGACATGAAAGTACCCTGGACAAGGCACAATGCTTGATGCAGCTGATAAGCATTGTGTTCAACCCCTGCATTGCATAAAAACAGAATTTAACGATGGGCATTGAGAAGGAAAGAGAATGGCTCCCTGCCTGCCCCCAGAGGGCAGGTTACAATAGCGATGTCCAGGCAAATGGAGATTAGTTAAGAGTAAGGAACCAGTCTCACCATTCCTCCTCCATAAAATGGGAGTATGACAGTTCATCATGTACTTGGCCAGTGTCCTTACTACTTTTCAGATGTCTAAGGCTGGGCCACAATAAACGATGGACATTGAGAGTCCCCTCCCAACCTGCTCTCACTTTTGGGTCCAGCATCCTCTTGCAGCTCCGGTTGTGACGAGAGCACACTACGCGAACTCGGAGCTGCCCAGCGTCAGGCCTTATGAATGACGCCGAACGGCGCCCGGCGACCTCTGACCCGCGGCGCCAGTCGGCCCCTCCCCCGCTGGCAGGTGGACAAGCCGCTGCGCCGGCCCGCCGTGGCGTCAATCTCCGCTGGCCCGTGGCCGCTGCCGCACTGGGCAGGGGCGGGAGACTGCAGGGCTCACGGTGCCGCACGGGCGTCCGCTAGGGCCGCCTCCCGCACCTCGCAGCGTCCGCCGCCCGGCTGCCCTCCAGCCGCCACCGCCCCGCCCCGCCCCGCCCGCCGCCCGGGCCGCAGCCTGCGCAGCTGCCCCGCCCTCTCACCCTGGGATTGACACTGACTGGGCTGCGCGTCTCAGCCAATCGGCGGCCTCTCAGGGCGAGCCCCAAGCCCTGTAGGGCTTCTCGGCCAATCACATGCATCCGCCCGCCCGACTGTGGCCTCACGAGCCCGTGAGTGGCTGAGCGTCTGCAACTCGCGTCAAGCATCCGGGAGCCTATGGTAGCGCGGGAAGGTTTCGGAGGGCCAATGGACAGCGGCGTGTGGCTGTCTGTCAGGGAGGCCCGAACCAATGGGCGGCGGAGTGCGGGGGCGTCACGGACAGAGGACTTGGGCTGAGGCTCCCCCGCGGGCGGGCGCAGAGAGACGCGGGAAGCAGGGGCTGGGCGGGGGTCGTGGCGCCGCAGCCAGCGCAGCCAGCCCCAGGGGCCGCCGCCTCCGCTGCCCAGCACGCTCCGGGGACGCCGGCCGCCTTAGCACCCGCCGCGCCGCAGCTCTGGGACCAGTCCCGGCCGCGACGCCGCCGCGATGGGCAACGCCGCCGCCGCCAAGAAGGGCAGCGAGCAGGAGAGCGGTGAGTTCCCGGCCGTCACCCTGATCTCCGGTGCGTGCCGCCTGCCCGCGCTCTGGCCATCATTGCATGGCCCCTCCCCCACGTGCCCCCCCATCCTGTCCGCCTGCACCCCTGCCTGCTGCCTGTCCACGCTGGGATCCGAGCACCGCAGAGGTACCTTGCCCCTGGCAGGGCTCCCGTGCCCGTGGCCGACCATCCCCCACTTTAAAGGCCGTGCCCCCCCACCCAGCTGTCACTGCCAACCATTGCATGTATGACCGCCGGGGCCCCAGATGGGGCCCTGTCACCACCCCACCCCCTCCTCTCCTAGTCCCTTTTCCCAGATTCTAATCCCCCCACACTTCGTCACTCACCTTTTCTACACAGCGCCCCAATGCCTGACCCTGATCCAGGCTCCTGCCAATCTCGGGAGTGCTGTGGGGTCCACCCTGCAGGGACCTTGGCCACTTGGTGACCACACCCCTCCCCCTCCAGCCCCCGCCATCTTTCTCCTACCCCTGCCCGATTCTCCCACCTCCAAGTCCCCCTGCCCCCCATGAGCATTTCCCAGGGCCACCTCCTGCATTGTTTTCCCCTTTCTGTGTCACTTGGCATGGGGGACAAGATCTTTCTGGGTCCCTCTGCCCCTCTCATCCTGTCACTCTGCCTCCTCCATGTAAGCGTCTGGCCCTGGCTGGGGTGGGCAGACTGTTACGAATCTAGAGAGCTGCTTCTGCGCTTCCAGACCCAAGTTCGAGCTGGTCTCAGAGCCATTGCGTCTGTCCTCTTTCTTGTGTTGCGGGTGGGGGAAATCGGCAGAGCACCGTCCCATCTCCTGGCCTGCCCTAAGCTCTGGGTTCCTTGGAAGGCCCCTCAATAAATGGTCATTTCACAACTGCGGTTCTGTCATTCACCCAGTCCCTGGGGCTGCTTCACTCTGCCTGGTTCAAGGCTGAGAATGAAATGTCGTGTTATCAAGGGCTCATTCGACTTGAATTGGGATGGTCAGAAAGGAATTGCAAGGGTAGGGTAACGACACCCAGCAAAAGGTGACAGCTAATGATTTGGTTTCCTGAGGACAGATGGATACTGTGCATACCCAGGACTTATTCAAAGGGAGGTGTGTTCTACTCCCCTCTCCCTCCCCCCAAACATGCTGAATTTTTCCAGCCAGGTAAAGAAACTGATTCTGTATTTGAAATGCCTTCCAAAGGACCTTTGCCTGTTCCCAATGCTCCCACCTCTTAAAGCGGTGTAACTCCAAGCTAATGCTGGACTGCCACCGAGATCCCCTTCAGTTACCCAGAAATAGTCAGACCCACCAAAAAGGGGGGCTGTGACAACTCTGCCCTTCTCAGTGTCTGAGTCCCCAGAATGCCACCGGAGCCCAAGAACTTTCTGCCCCTCCCCCCCTTCAAACAGCAGAGCAGTCTTAAGAGGCCTGGCATGTCACCGATGGGCGGGGGACAGAGAGGCAAGTGCTTGTAGTTGAGGGCTTGATGACAGAGGAGCAGGTGGGTAGTGCCCAAAACGGTCTTGGGCTTGAGCTTGGAGGGGCCCAGGCAGAAGGGGAGGGCCAGCCCCCTTGACAGGTGAGGCCCACCAGGAGGTACGTGGTTCTGGCACTGGGGTGTATATTGCAGCGGCCCTTTTTTTTTTTTTTTTTTTTTTTTTTTGGTTTTTACGAGACAGGGTTTCTCTGTATCGGTCCAGCCTGGCCTCGAACTCACAGAGATCCGCCTGCCTCTGCCTCCCGAGTGCTGGGATTAAAGGCGTGCGCCACCACCGCCCTGCTGCAGTGGCCCTTTTAAATATGGAGGGGACATAGTGCTAGAAAAGCTTCAAGCATATCAGACACATTCAGCAGAAACTAAGAGCCACATAGGGTGAAAGGAAAAGATCAGTCTCCGAGTTGGCCAGCTGTTTTCATTGGGGTGAAATCCAGCTACTATTTATCAGGCATCCAAGAGGGCTAACTTAAATGGGCTCTGTAGACACACTTATTTTGATGACTTTTGTCCAAATGAGCCATCTGAGCTTGACATAGATGACATCATACAGCAGAATTCACACCCAGATCTGTCTACCCACAGATCTCCTGGACCCCAGAATGTCTCAACTTAGACACTCTTTTGTTTGTTTTAGCTTTTTGAGACAAGGGTCTCACTGTATAGCTCCAGCTGACCTGGAACCCTCTCAGTAGACCAGGCTGACCTCAAACTCATAGAGATCTGCTTGTCTCTGCTTCCCAGTGCTGGGATTAAAGGCGTGTGCCACCATGTCCAGCCTTCATTAAATTCTTAAGCTGCCTCCACAGGAGTTAAACCCCAGCCATACTTTCTTAATTTAAAATGATGAAAACAAACCATGAATAATAGTATATATTGGTGCTACCAGCAATTCAAGAGACTGAGGCAGAAGGATTGTTTGAGCCCAGAAGTTAAAGGCTTGCTTGGGTGACAGCAAGACTTTGTATCAAAATACAAATAAACCCTGTGCTCATCAAGATGGCCTCTAGCAGGTAAAGATGTTTGCTGCCAAGCATGCCAGTCTCAGTTGTTTGCCTGGAGCTGACATGGTGGAAGGGGAAAACTAACTCCTACAAGTTGTTCTCCAACCTCCACAAGAATGTGTGTGCACACACAATATAAAAAATTAAAAATATCAAACAGGCACAGCGACTCACAACTTTGACAAGCAAGAGAGAAACTGTGAGGCCAAAGGGCCTGAGTCTGAGGCCAACCTGGGCTATAAAGGAGACACAGTCTTAAAAAACGGGGGAGGGGAGCTGGAGAGATGGCTCAGTGGTTAAGAGCACTGACTGCTCTTACAGAGGACCTGGGTTCAATTCCCAGCACCCACATGGCAGCTCACAGCTGTTTCTAACTCCAGTTCCAGGGGACCCAACACCCATGACAGAACACCAATGTACATAAAATAAAAATAAATTTAAAAAAGGAAAAACCTTATTCATTTTTCATAGGTCCTAAGCTATGGCAGTCTGAGATTGCCTGTTGTAGTCTCTGATACACGTTAGAATACAACATAACTAAATGGAAGTGGAATACAGGCTTGAGGGCTTGTGGACCTGGCTACTTGGGAGGCTAAAGCAAGAGATAGGCTGGGATAGCCTTAGAAGCTGTATCAAAATAAAAGTAAATAAGAGTTGGAGACAGCTCAGTGATACAGTACTTGCATAGGATGTTCAGGGCCCTACATTCAATCCTCAGTACCACTACTACTACTACTAATTTTGTGTTCTGCCCCCGAGACCTAGTCAAACTTTGGAGACATCCCTCCACCCAAGCCCCTTTGCCTGGAAGCTTCTTAGAGGATGGAGGGAAGCCGGTCTCCTCTTGTAAGCAGGGCTGGGGCAGTAGTCACACCAGCCTGCAGGGGGCACCTGCAGTTCATCTGCCACATGCCTGCCCACAGGATGGGAAGGTGCCTGAGCCTTCCTAGGCACCAAGCAGGCATCTTGCAGCCCACTGCACTGCCATCTCAGTACCCAGACGGGGCAGGGCTTGCTGTCTCCTTGACCAGGTGGGCAAGGATCTAGAAGCCATCCGGTATGGAATAGGATAAGGGGAGTCTGTACCTTAAAATGACACAGATGTTGACTAGCGCCAGGGTGAGAAGCCTAGAAGACAGAGGGGAAAGGTCAAGCCCCAGGAGGCTGCCCGTGTGGACAGCCAAGTGGGGCTCAGGTCTCAGCTAGTACACACCTCAGGGAAAGTGGCAGGAGTGGTAAGAGGGAGCCCCAAAGAAGTCCACAAGTCGGTCCAGTCACCGAGGAAAAGACATCTTCAGGACGTTCCTGGATGGAAAGAATTGTTGCCTTCTAACATCCTAGAGAGGCTCTAAAGGGCCAAAACTGTGTTATCATTGGCAGTTGTATGGGTGCCCAAGAGGGTCCTCCCAGACAGCTTTGCCTTTTGCCCAGTCGGGCCAACAGAAGTTGGAAGGATTCTATCCGCCCCTCCCCTGCACCGATTAATCTGCAGGTTGAGTTTCTCATCCTGTTCCCACCCTACAACTTCCTGGCTCCCTCTACAGGCAGGGTCCCCGAGGACTGGCAGCCAAACTGGTACAGCAGATCTTATGAGGCTTCCCAGCCACCGTAGTGCTAGTGCCCTGAGAAAGACTGGGTGATGGCTTCCAGCACCAACGATGGTGAGGCTGAGCCCTGTTGCTATAGCAACTTCCTAGGCACTGTCTGCCCCTTAAGTCAGGGAGGGGCTGTGATGGCGGTTTAGGGGAGCAGAAGGAGGGAAGGAGTCTGCGAACTCTGGGTATCCCTGGAAACCCCTCCCTTCTTAACATCCTTGGACTAGGGGGCCTGCGAACGAAGAGCAGAGGAGTGAATGGTCCATTTCAGACCAAAGCAGATGGTCTATCCAGAGTGGGCCCCCCCCGCTCAGACAGGGGCATGAAATAGTCCCTCCCAGTTTTGGGATTCAGCCCAGAATGAAGATTGGTCCACCTTAGACCTGTATAGTCCAGCTTGGTACCCTGAGCCCTGCCTGGAGACAGATGGGACCCAGTGTTGGGCGGCCCTCCTCAAACTGGGGGTGTGGTATTGTGCTCTCTTGCCGACTGCTGTGACCCTCATATTTGAATCCAAGGCGGTTTCCGTGTCTTGCTGTGGCACTGACTTTCCTAGAGGTGTCTGGTGTTTTCTCAGTACATTAAATCCAGAGAGTGGAAGCCAGTGGCACCCTTCCCTTCCAAATGAGAGGAGGCTGGCAGCTGCTGGGCTAGCCTCCTTGTCCACTTCCTGTCCAGCAGGGGTCCAAGGGTGCCAGGTGGCCCCAGGAAGGCTGCTGTAGAGCTTTCAGCTTTGGGAGCCTGGAAAGAAGGAAGATGATGATTAACTCCACCTTCCCCTCCCCCACCCAAGTTTAGCCATTCATTTCCGGTTTGGACTTTCATGGCTGAGAACAGAGCCAAGCACAGGGCAAGGTTTGACAGAGGCCAAGGACAGTCCCAGGACACTGGTCCCCTCGCCCCTGCAGAGGAACAAGACAGAGAACCTGGTGTATACCCATCTCTCTCAGGGGTGGCAGGATCTGGAGGTTCCTTGTTGAAAGGAAGCTCAGGAGAAGCTAAGGTGGCTTTTGCCACTGTCCCCACCCTGGCCTTCCTCTCCGCTGCTCTTTCAGCTAATTAACAAGCTCTGGGGCTTCTTTAACCTCTGGAGAGCTAGTGCCTGTTGCCTGGGCCTTAACTCTTTCACGTCTGCCCATGGACAGTACTCTGGTCACATGGACTTCATGCAGACTGGACCACTGGGGAAGACGTCCTGGGGAGCCATGGGCATCCCTGGAAGGGCAGGCCAGCCAGAGGGACACCCTCTAAAGAGTCTTCCTATCTCCTGCTGCCAAGGAGAGCCTCTGCAGACCTTGGCCAATCTGGAGCAGGTGCCTTTAAATGCTTCTGTGGCAACCAACTCCTTCCCCAATCCCCAGACTGTACCAAGAGTCACTGGTTACTCCAGCAAACAGAAGATTGCAGATAGAACCAGGCCTACCTGGGATGGACCTGGGGTCTGGAAGTAGTGAGCTTGAGGACGATGTCACCTTCCAGCTGTGGCTGCAGCTGTTCCTCTGGGCCCACCTGGCTGTCCGTTTCCTGGGTTACCTGCGCTACACTTTCTGGGGACTAAAGCCCCGGTCAGCACCCTGAATCCTGACTGGGAGCTGATGGGCCCCAGACTGCCCCATGTTACCCAACCCCCATGCCACACTCTGCTGGGAGAGGCAGGCAGCAGGTGAGTGTGGGGCTCTGGGGTGAGGCGTCTGTTTTCCTGTGCACCACCACCTCCTCTGCTTTTGTTTTGTTGTTGTAGTTGTTTATGTTTTGAGAGGCCTGCCTTGTACTCGAGCTCCTCCTGTTTTAGCCTCCTAGTTCTGGGATTACAGCTGAGCTCACTCTTTAGTGTTGTCATGCTTGGGATAGAACCAGGCCTTGCAAATACTGACAAGGGCTCTGCCGCTGAGCTACAGCTGCGATCTACGTTCCTTCAATACAGGCTCTTGCTATACATCCCAGGCTGGTCTTGAACACAGAATCCTTCCTCAGCTCCCAAAGTCTTGATCTTATAAGCCTGTGCCATGGCTCCAAGCCTGTTTCTCTTGGTACTGTTCTCCCTGTGCCCTGACCTGTCACAGCACTAGGGAGCCTGAATCAAAAGGCCATCCTGGGCTACATAGTGAGTTCCATGTCATACTGGGCTACAGTGTAAGATCTTGTCTCAGAAAATCAAGAGAGAGACTGGGTGTGGTGGTGCATGCCTTTAATCTTAGCACTGGAGAGTCAGGCGGGAGCAGAGGAGGTGGATCTCTGAGAGTATGAGACTAATCTGGTCTACATAGTGAGTTCCAGGACAACCATGGCTATGTAGAGAGACACCCTGTCTCAAAGGAAAAAAAAATCAAGAGAGTATTAGCCATAGTTCTCTAAAGGAACAGAACTGACAGAATGAGTATTTATATATGGGACTTATTAGAGTGGCTTACAGGCTAAGGTTTGGGTAGTTGTCTAGGCCTAAGACTGGGTGTCTCAGCAGTTGTAACTTAGTGCTGGAGTTCTGGAAGATTTCTGGACAGCTGCTGGTCTTCAGTCTACACTGAAATCTTGAAGAGACAGGTTCTGAGACCAGCACAGGAATGCCTCAGCAACAGGACAGGTGAACTTGCCAGTGCAAAAGGAAAATTTCCTTCTTCCATGTCCTTTTCTGTGGGCTGTGGCCAGAGGATGTGGCCAGGGTTAGGGTGGGTCTTCCCACCTCAGATAATCTGATAAAGAAACCCCTTACAGATGTGTCCAGCTGCTGGAGTTCTAGCTGATTCCAGATATAGTTAAATAGCCAACTAAGGTTAACCATCACAGAGAGAATAGCTGTCCAGTCCCTCTATCTGGGTGGAATTATGACTCTCATCCACCACTACCATCCTACAAGACCATCGTTGCTTTATCCCCATTTGCCCGTGTGGGAAACAGACTCAGAAAGATGAGGTCAGTTGTCCAAAGACACACAGTCCGTCACCACTCAGACAGAATGAACCCCTATCCTGAAGTCCTGTCCCCTAGCTGCCTCTCAGAGCCACTAGCTAACCGTGAACTGTCTCCAGGCCTTGCTTTCCTGGCCATTAAGAGGGTAAACCAGATAGACACAAGGAAGGTTGTCATGCAGATCAAATAAGAGTGTGGATGGAGTGGGTGCCCCAGCCAGTCACCAGGGACAGCTTCTACATTGGGAAAGGAGATGCTGGCCTCGGGATGCTGCAGGCCCCAGGGTGGAGTGTGCCTGACGGGAGGCACCCAGTAAAGCAGTTCAGGGGTGAGAGCTGTCCCCTCAGCAAAGGCAGGCACAGAGCCAGCAGAGGCCAAGGTGACAGCTGAGCCCCCCAAGGGCGCCTGCTACACCAGCCCTACAGGCCTCCACCAGGGCCTGGCCTCAACAAACGAGCAGCCAGATCAGAGGCTATAAATACCTCAGCTGGCACAGCCCTGGCCAAGGAATGTCTGTCAGTGCTAGGGAGAGTGGGGTTGGCTGGCCCATGTGCCTCTTGGTCCTGTGTGCCCCTGAGTCTCCATGAACCCTATTTAGGAATGACTGGAGTCTGGGGCCCACCTCTGTAATGAAAGGGGTACTCAGGCCCCAGCCCCATCAAGATTCCCTAAGTTGCCTCTAGGATTCCCCCAAAGACACTGGGAAAATACTGGACCCTGGTTTGAATCAGCTGTCCCACTTCTCACCCAAGTGCGCAAGCTCGATGTGCCTTGAAACGGGCTCTCCACTCAACTTCCTCTCTCTCCCTCAGTGAAAGAGTTCCTAGCCAAGGCCAAGGAAGACTTCCTGAAAAAATGGGAGAGCCCTTCTCAGGTAAGCACCTCAGACCGAGCAGTTCCCGGGACACCGCCTAGCTCTGTCTCTGTGTCCCTTCCCAGCTCTGCCCCATTCCCTTCTAACATGCCCATGGTGACCCCTGCTTCTCGTCACTGGGCCCCCACCCCTCTGAACCCTTGCACCTGGCAGCCCCTGCTTTCCATGCAGCTGCCAGCAACTCCTGGGCCCCAGGCCAGGGCTGGATCTGGCCCCTGCCACCCTGCCTGGAAGAATGTCCCCTGGGTCATCTCCACCCACTCCCCAGGGCCCCCTCTGCCGGTGACATAGGGGACTCGGCAACCCAGAAATCTGCAGAGAGGCGCCCCTGACCTCTCCCATCCCTGCCCACAGAATACAGCCCAGCTGGATCACTTTGATAGAATCAAGACGCTCGGCACCGGCTCCTTTGGGCGAGTGATGCTGGTGAAACACAAGGAGACTGGAAACCACTATGCCATGAAGATCTTGGACAAACAGAAGGTAAGATGATCAGCTGTCAACCAGGCTTTCCCATCGCTGCCCATCCAGACCCATGCCAAGCCCACCACTGCCCACACTGCTTTCCTGCCCATTCATTCACCACTTATCAGGTGCCAGCTCCAAGGATTCCACAAGTAATAGAACCAATTAGCTATCAATTAGCAATGCAACCCTCTCCTGCACCTTGGGTTTTAGAAAGGTCCAGTGGCAGCTTTGCCTTGCCAGATGCAAAATACTGTACTGAGTTCATAAGAGTGAAGGGGCGTGTGCGTCTTTCTTAGGCACTGTAAGTTTTCACTGGTGGGTTAATGTCTACTGCTGGGGGGCAGCTTAGAGGCAGAGTACTTGGCCCAGGTTCCATCCTTACCTCAGCAAAAGATGAAATAAATGGGAAAGGACGTGAAGTCCACAGTGTTGCTGTGCACACAGGCCAGAGCTCTGCAAACTTTGCTGTCTGTGTTCAGTGGTGTCTTTGAACCTGCCCCGTGAGTGCTCAGCCACATGCAAGTCCCCTGATCCTCCACAGTCTGTGGGACCCAAAGGTGAGAGGGGCATGTGCCACTCCCACAAAACACACAGCTGGTCAGAGGTGACCAGGGCCTTCTGAAGAAAGTAAGGTTTATACAGAAGTTTTTTTGGGTTTTGTTTTTTCTTTTCTTTTTTTCTTTTTTTTTTTTTTTTGAGACAGGGTTTCTCTGTATTGTTTTGGGGCTGTCCTGAAACTCACTCTGTAGACCAGGTTGGCCTTGAACTCACAGATCCACCTGCCTCTGACTCCCGAGTGCTGAGTTTAAAGGTGTGCGCCACCAACACCCGGCTTGTTTTTGTTTTTCCTTGTAGGGTTTCTCTGTGTAGCACTCTGTAGGCCAGACTAGGCTTGAACTGATGGAGAGTTGCCTGCCTCTATCTCCTCAGTGCTGGATCAAAGGCATGTACCATTACTGCCCAGTTTACACAAAAGTTCTTAAAAAATTTTTTAAACTTACTAATTTTAGTGTGGGGGAACTTGTTGGCCAATTATATCAAAACAATGAGGTAGAGATAGGAGAGACAAGAAGGCTCTGTGAGTTAAAGGCACTTGCCACCAAGCATGGTGACTTTAGTTCAATCCCCAGAACCCACTTGGTAGAAGGAGAAAACCACTCCTTACAAGTTGTTCTTTGGGGCTGGAGAGATGGCTCAGAGGTTAAGCGCACTCTGCTCTTCCAGAGGTCCTGAGTTCAATTCCCAGCAACCACACAGCCATCTATAATGAGATCTGGTGTCCTCTTCTGGCATGCAGACAGACATGGAGGCAGGCTGTTGTATTCATAATAAATAAATAAATCTTTAAAAAAAAACTAGTTGTTCTTTGACCAAGATCAAGTGTCCTCTGACCTCTACAAGTGTGTCATGGTACAACCATGCATCCACACACACATACAATCAGTGAGTTTAAAGAAAAAAACTTAATGAGTTGGAGAGATAGCCAGAGATAGTGTAGTGGATAAGTCACCTCTCAGGCAAACATGGGGATGTGAGTTGGGTCCCCAGAGCCCAGCCCAGCAGTACTGTCTGTGTCAGCATTCCTGCTGTGAGATACGGCCGAGACAAGCTCAAGGGCATCCAACCAGCCTTATACAGCAGCAGACAAGGTCCTACCATTAAACAAGATGGAGGGCAAGGACCACACCTGAGGTTGTCTTCTGACACACCTGGACTCACACAAACACAAGCTGTCCTTGAACTCAGAGATCCACTGCCTCTGCCACTGGAGTGCTGAGATTAAAGGCTTGTGCCCCCACCACCTGGCCAAGATTTTCTTAAAAAGAAAAAAGGAGGCAGGCATGATTGAGGAAGCTACCCAGTGTCAACTTCCATCTTCGACATGTGTGAGCACACACGAATGTGAACACACACAATGTTGTGTGAAGCTGTGTGCGGTGGAGTGCTCAGCACTCGGGAGGGAGGGGTCTTGCTGTGTACCTCAAGCTGGCTTCAAACTTGAGATCCTCCTGCCTCTGCTTCTAGAGTGCTGAGGTGACAGGCGTGTGCCACCATGTGCAGCTTTTCGTAAAGACTGTGTGTGCACGAGTGTGTATTTTTGTATGTGTGTTCCTGTGCAGGGCAGAGATAGAATATCTACACTGGGTCTCTTCCTTAGCCACATTTATCATCCTCATCAAGTTGTTTTGAAACAGGGTTTCTCTGTGTAGTCCTGGAGCTCACACTACAAACCAGGCTAGGCTCAAATTGAACAGATCTGCCTTCCTCTGCCTCCTATAGGGGCATGCAATCTACACTTCTTCTTTATCTTACTAAACTTGGAGTGAGGCTGACTGGCCAACAAGCCCCAGGATCCACCTGTCTTCACCCTACCAGTGCTGGGGTTGTAGGTGCACACCACCACCACACCTGGCTTTATGGTGGGTGCTGGGGATCTGAACTCAGGTCTTCATGCTTGTGTAGTAGGCACTTTACCAACCCTCCATACTTTCTTTAAACTATGTATGGCTGTGTGAGTGTGTGTGCCTGTGGCTGTGTTTGTGGGTACCCATGGCAGCTAGAGGCATTGGATGCCCCAGGAGCTAGAGTTACAGGCATTTGGGAGCCACCTGACATGGGTGCTGGGAATCAAACTCCAGTCTTCTGTAAGATGAGTTCATACTGTTTTTTTAACCACTAAACCACATGTCCACATGCATGAAGATTTCTAACACCTGTTTGATGCTGACACAGAAACATGAATTTCTTTTATCCAACTTTATTTCTGTTTGTGTGTGATTCTGGGAATTAAATCTGGGCCCCTCACACTCTAGGCTCTTGCTCTACCACTGAGCTCCTCCTGCAGCCTAACAGCATTTCTACATTTTCTAGCCACCCCATCAAAAGTGTGCAAAGAAACAGGTGAAATTCTTTTTTTTTTTTTTCTCTTCAATTGCTGGGGCTAGAACTCAAGACCTCATACCTGTCAAGCAAGTGCTCCACTCACTGCAGAGCTACATAATCCAGTCCTGGAATTTATTTTAGTCATGTTTTACAATTAATACAGTATATACATCATAGTCATTTCTATGCTACCAGTGTATGTAAAGTTATTGATAGGGTGATTTGAGGTAGAGTCTCATCTATCAAAGCCTACCTTCAAATCCTATGAAGTCTAGGATAGCCCTGAGCTCCTCCTGATTGTCCTGGCTCCTAAGGGCTAGGATTTATGGACTGCACCCCACATGAGGCTCAGTTGGTGGTGGTGGTGGTGGTGCTTGTTTTGTTTTGTGTTACATTTTTTATTGGGGGGAGGTCTGAGAGCCACAGTGGTAAGTGGAGAGGTCAGAGGACAACTTGCAGGGGTTGGTTTTCTCCTACCGTGTGGGTTCTAGGGTTTGAACTCAGTCATCAGACTTTGATCAAATTTGACAGCCTAGTTTTTGAGACAAGGTCTTGGTATGTAGCCCAGGCTGCCCTCAGACTTGAAGTCTTCCTAAATGCTGAGATTATAGACATGTACCACTATGCCCAGTGAAACATTTTGTGATTTTTTTCCCCATGTTAAATAGCTTTGGAATGTACTGTGTTTTAGTATTTTACTTTTGGGGTGTGTGTGTGTGTGTGTGTGTGTGTGTGTGTGTGTGTTTGAGATAGGGTCTCACATAGCCTAGGCTGCCATTACTGTATAGCCAAAGTTGTTCTTGAACTCCGGATCCTTCTACCTCAATCTTTCTTTTTTTTTTTTTTTTTTTTTTTTTTGGTTTTTCGAGACAGGGTTTCTCTGTGGCTTTGGAGGCTGTCCTAGAACTAGCTCTTGTAGACCAGGCTGGCCTCAAACTCACAGAGATCCGCCTGCCTCTGCCTCCCGAGTGCTGGGATTAAAGGCGTGCGCCACCAACGCCCGGCGCTACCTCAATCTTTCAAGTATAACAAGTGTACACCAAACCCAGATCATCACACACATACAAATCCATGAAAAGCAAAAAGAATGTAGAAGCTGAAAACATTGCCATGTCACAGTTGTTCCAAATGTACTTATAAGTTGTTAGGATGGGGATGGCAATATGACTAAGCAGGTAAAGGTGCCACCAAGCCTGATGGGATGGCCCAAATTCTATCTCCAGGACTCACACGTAAAAGGGCGACGGCCTTCCTCAGTTTATTCTGTGATCTCCACATGCCTGCCTTGGCATGCACAGGCTGCCCACAGCATATATATAAATAAATTTATGGTTTCAGCCGCAGAGAGCTAATGCAGCACATGCAAAACCCTGGGTCCCATGCTTGGTGGGCTGGAGAGATTAAAAAATGGTTGCCCAGAAAAAGAAAAGCTGGTTTCTAAGCCACCATGCCTTTTGGGGCCTCTCTGGTGTCACTAAATCTCCTACTCTTGCAGGCAGCCTTCTCTGGTCCCCCCACACACACACACACACACACACACACACACACACACACACACACACACTTTCTAGAATTTTCCAGGTTCCTGATCTGGGCATCTGTTAGCTCCAAGGTCCCTCCCCCAAGATTCCTCTGGTCCATGGGGCTCTGCTTTGATCATGTGTCATGCAAGGACCCTCAGCTCTCATCACTCAGCCAGGGCCATGGATATCTGGACCATTCTGAGTAAAAAAATGGTCCCCACTCCCATATTCCTGGTTTTGACCAAGGCTAGGAAATGAAGCCCTCCATGGCTCTTTTCTGCCTCAGGTGGTGAAACTGAAGCAGATTGAGCACACTCTAAATGAGAAGCGCATCCTGCAGGCTGTCAACTTCCCGTTCCTGGTCAGACTTGAATTCTCCTTCAAGGTAAGGGCCATAGCCAGGACTTGAGGAGGGTGGAGGGTGGGTCCTAGCCCATGTCAGACACAGCCTCCTGATCCCCCGGGGCGGGGGCCACCCACTTACAAGGAAGAAGACCCTTGGAGGAAGAATGCCAGGAACTGGGGTAGACTGGGGCCCTGGGCATCTCTAGTCCAGCTCTTGAGTAACTCCAGGCATGCCACCCAGCCTGGAATCACCACCCTGACTCATTTCAGGAACACAGACTGCCACTAGGCAACCAGGGAGCTGCTTCCCACTGTGCCCTGCAGAAGAGGCACTGGCCATACTGAGCCTTGCTCTTCTCATCTGTGAAAAGGGACTCAGTACAGCTCTCACGTTGTGAGGTCATAAGAGTAAGGAATTCTTGCAGGTGCAAAAGAACCTGTGGGAAAACCTCTTGAACAGGCAGTCACCAAAGCCTGTCCTCACTAGAGCCTTTCCCCACCAGCCTGTCCCAGAAGTTCCCCAGCAGAAGCTATACATGTCATAGTTTTTTGGTTTTTTTCAAGACAGGGTTTTTCTATGTAACAGCCCTGGCTGGCCTCCCAACTCTGAGATCCGCCTGCCTCTTCCTCCCATGCGCTGGGATTAAAGGCGTGCACCACCACACCTGGCATAGTTTTTGTTGTCTTGAGGCACTGTATAGCCCAGGCTGGCCCAGAACTCACTGTCCTCCTGCCTTCGCTTCCTGAGCGCTGGGATCCCAGGTGTGCATCATCACACACAAGTGTGTGTCAGTTTTTGTTTCTTGTGGTGCTGGACGTAGAACCCGGGCCTCTGTATGTGGTATCCAGGTGCTCTACCATCGAGCCACGTCCCCAGCCCTGTAGCAATCTTTTGCTCTTTTTGTTGTGAGTGTGAAGCAACAGAGCTACCTCTCCAGCAGCCTGTAATACTTCTTTTTTGTTTTTAGCAAGACTTATATTCTCTACAGCCCAGGCTGGTTTTAAAGTCCTCGCCCACCCCAGCAGCTGAGACCCCAGCTGTGTGCCATCATGCCCACAGCTCTTGTTTTGGGTCCTGCGAATTCCGTCGCCTGCCCTACGTGCTTGGTGGGTAGTGAAGGTGAAGTCTGAGACAGTAGCCACTGCAGGACTACAGCTGGCCTGTGGCCGGGCCCTCACTTTCTCCCCTTGTGGGAAGAGAGTTGTAGCTGCCTCTTCCTGCTCCCAGAGAAAATGCAACTCATGGTGCTTGAAATGTGGACCTTTGGGAAGATTTCAGTGCTTGCTTGTGCAGGCCGCCGAGGTTTCTAGCTGGGGCCCAGTGCCTGGAGACAGGGCCTTGACTCACTTTGCCTCCCACAGGACAACTCAAACTTGTACATGGTCATGGAGTATGTGCCTGGTGGGGAGATGTTCTCCCACTTGCGGCGGATTGGAAGGTTCAGGTAAGCAGGCCCCATCCCTGCCACCATCCAGGGGCCACCATCCAGGGACATGGAGGGTCCAGTCTACTTAGAAATGGAAACTGAGGAAGAAAAAAAAAGAAAAAAAGAAATGGAAAGTGAGGTCTCTGGGTTCTGATGAGAGGTATTTTTTTGTTTGTTTGTTTGTTTTTTGTGGGTTTTCAAGACAGGGTTTCTCTGTGGCTTTGGAGGCTGTCCTGGAACTAGCTCCTGTAAACCAGGCTGGTCTCGAACTCACAGAGATCCCCTGCCTCTGCCTCCCGAGTGCTGGGGTTAAAGACATATGCCACCACCACTTGGCTTCTGATGAGGTTTTGTTTTGTTTTTTATTTTATTTGTGTGTGTGTGTGTGTGTCGTTTATTGATGGGGTGTTGCTATATAGCCAAAGCTAGTCTTTGACTCAAGAGCCTCTGGTCCTGCCTTCTGAGTGCTGCTGTGATAGGCTGCAGTCACCACACTCAGCCCCTGTGGAGTTTTGTTCCTTTTACGTTAAGCAATTTGTGATGTTTCAGATAGCCAAGCTGAGTGACCAGCACAGAAAAGAAAAAATGAGAGAGATCATACTGTGTAGCTCAGGCTAGCCTTCAAATCCTAGGCTGACTCAGTTCTCCTCCCACAGGTTCCTGGAACCACAAAAACCCTCCACTGTACCTAGCAAAAAAATTTAATTAGTGGATAATTTTATGTAGCTTTAAATTTTATGCTAATATATATTACTTGACAACTACATATAAATGTATTTTGTATACACTAAAATCCAAACATCTTGTGAAGTGTGATGGTACACACCTCCAGTCCCAGCACTGAGGATGTTGAGGCAGGAGGATCAGGAGTTTGAGGCTAGCCTAGGCTGTTTAAAAAGTCCCTGTCTCAAACGTAAGCCACCACCTTCAAAGCAAAATCAAAAAGTGAAGTCTCCATGCACCATTGTGAGGCTTGCTGAGTCAGGAAGGCGGATCTTCCCTTTTCCTTTTCGCCTGTCTTGAGGTGCTGGCTGGACCCTGAGCACAGTTTTTCTGGTACCTTGTGCTTCCTTTTCCCCAAAGCGCTCCTCCCTTGCATGTGACTGCCTGCTGTCATGTGGCTGCCCTCCATGCTGGTAACTCAACCAGAGTGACTTTCCCCTTTTTCCTTCACTTTTCTCTGGGCAGATGCTGAGAGTCACAGTTCATCTCCCCTGAGGTTTCTCTAAAAGTTGTCCTTGTTTTGTGAATATCAGCTTTGCTTGACTTTACAAAACAAGCAGATAAGACCTGTAGTCTTTGGTAGTTGACCCTGTGACGTGGTTTGGTGGTTGTTTGTTTTGTTTTGAGACAGGGTCTCATTATGTAACTTTTGCTGACCTGGAACTTTCCATGTAGACCAGGCTGGCCTAGAATTCATAGTTCTCTGAAATACTAGGATTCAAGGCGTATGCCATCATGGGTGGTTTTTATTTTGACACTTGTACCCTGATGACTTTCTTCCAAAACTCTGATTATCAGACAAAATCCCCTTAAACTGCTTTCTTGGGTAGGTTGACTCCTCAGTAAGGCACCTGTCCCTTCTAAGCCTTCCACTCAAGTTTGTTTTAGCTGAGTTTGGAATAGAATTGCTTTTTTGTTTGTTTGTTTGTCTGTTTGTTTTTTTGGTTTTTCGAGACAGGGTTTCTCTGTGTAGCTTTGGAGCCTATCCTGATACTCACTCTGTAAACCAGGATGGCCTCTAACTCAGAGATCCACCTGCCTCTGCCTCCCAAGTGCTGGGATTAAAGGCGTGCGCCACCAACTCCCGGCCTTAGAATAGAATTGTACAACTTAGAATATGAAGGGGAGGCTTGACTTTTTGTTTTGTTTTGTTTTTGACACGGAGTCTCACTAAGTAGTCTGGGCTAGCCTGGAACTCATGATGTAGCCCAGGCTGATCTCAGACATATGCCAGTCCTTTTGCCTCTGCCTCCCAATGTTATGGTGCCAGGTATGTGCCACCATGTCAGGCACCCCAGTTTTTGCACTAGAGATTGGGTCTCTTAATATTACCCAGGCTGTCTTTAGAATCCTTGGGATAGAATCCCCCTACCTCAGTCTTCCACATAGCTGGGACCACTGGTTCATGACATCATGCCCAGCCTTGAATTTGTATTTTGATTAGCTAGACATGGGTATCTTACTCTGTGGGTACACAGACACACTTGCTAGACCACTTGGGGATGTGGTCATGTTCACCCACACATCCCCTCCTGGCTTGTCCCCACCAGCGAGCCCCATGCCCGTTTCTACGCGGCGCAGATCGTCCTGACCTTTGAGTATCTGCACTCCCTGGACCTCATCTACCGGGACCTGAAGCCCGAGAACCTTCTCATCGACCAGCAGGGCTATATTCAGGTGCCCGAGGCCGGGGGAGGGCGCTCCTGGGCACATGAAAGCTTGCCGCACTTCTTCCTGCCCACTGCCCGTTCTTGTGCCTACAGGTGACAGACTTCGGTTTTGCCAAGCGTGTGAAAGGCCGTACTTGGACCTTGTGTGGGACCCCTGAGTACTTGGCCCCTGAGATTATCCTGAGCAAAGTAGGCACCTCACCAGCCTGTCCCACCCCTGAGGCCTGCTCCACCTCACTAGCCCACCCTACCCCTGAGGAATCATCTCCTCTTCACCTTCTTGCCTCATCGAATGGCCCCCATCTTGCTCTAGGGCTACAACAAGGCTGTGGACTGGTGGGCTCTCGGAGTCCTTATCTACGAGATGGCTGCTGGTTACCCGCCCTTCTTCGCTGACCAGCCTATCCAGATCTACGAGAAAATCGTCTCTGGGAAGGTGAGGCCAAGATATGGAGCTCAGTCCTGAAAGGAACCAAAACAACCTTCCACATTCCCAACCCATTGTCCTAATACCCAGGAGCCTGAGGCAGGAACATCTTAAGTGTGGGGCCAGCCTGGGACACAGATTTCCAGGATAGCCTGGGCTAACCAGTGAAACTCAGAAAACTCAAGGACAGGGGTGTGTGGCTCAGCTATAGAACTCTTGCCCTGAACCCAAACAAGGTGGGTAGGGGTTTGGCTCACTTGGTGATCTAGCATGTCTGGCCCAACAGCAGCATACACACATAGAGAACTGTCCCTCCTGGTCCTGCTCACCCTGGAATACCACTTGTTGACATAATCTGGAAGCTCCTCAAGTTAAGCAAGGTGCTGGCTTTGCCTCTTGTCAGTGCGCGCACGTGTGTGTGTGTGTGTGTGTGTGTCTGTCTGTCTGTGTGTGTGTGTCTGTCTGTCTGTCTCTCTCCTCTTTTTTCTCTGTCTCTCTCTCTCCCCTCTTTCTTCCCCACCCCCCTAAACAATGCTGTGGAGCATCTATCTCCCAGCTAACAAGACTGAGTTCCCAAGCATGTCAGGAGGCCACATCAGAATTCTGGTTACAGAAAGTGCTGCCCTGATACCAGACCAGAACAAACTTGTTTGGGTCCCAGGTGTTTGCCCAGCCATACGAGCAAACCCCATCCTGCTCTAGTTATGTGCCCTTTTAGATGTGACGTCTCCTTGGTTACCCTGGCGTGGTGGCACAGGCCTATAATCTCAGTACTCTTTAGTAGTCCAAGACAAGAGGATTGCCATGAGCTCCAGACCAGCCTGGGTTACAGAGTAAAACCCTATCTCATAACAGAGACAAAATCCAGGAGTGTCCCTCCCAGGAGGACTGATCATGTCCTCACCACCCATTAGCCCTGGGTCATTCTTTAGCCACCCCCTGAAGAAATGGCACCCTTGTAGGACAGATGAGGAAACTGAGGTGCAGAAAGGGAGTGTGGCTGGTTTGAAATTGCACCATGAGAATCTAGTGGAAGACTGGGGGCGGGAGGAACAGGGGACTGAGAGTTCTGTGTTCACTAACTCCACCTATCAGGGGAACCTGGCTGTTACCCCACCTGAAAGAGACCCTCTCTGTGTTGTGGAACTCAGGGCTGGGCACATAATCACTGTTACCTATGAGGGAAATATAAGCACCTCCTGCCTCTCGGACAGGAGGTGTGATACCATGGGCTTTTTTTGTTTTGTTTTGTTTTTTTTGTTTTGTTTGTTTTTGAGACAGGATCTCACTTTGTAGCTCTGGCTAGTCTAGAATTTACTGTGTAGACTAGGCTGATAGCAAACTCACAGAAACCCACCTACCTCTGCCTCTGCTAAGATTAAATGAGTGAGTCACCACACTCAGCCTTAGTAAGGGCTTCTTATCCTAGCATTCAGAAGGCTGAGGCAGGACGATTGTTGTGAAATTAGAGAAAAAGATTTTGAGACCTGTTAGTAGGATGTTACTCAAAAGAAACACAAAACAAAAAATTGAAACGTCAAAGATGGTGCAAAAAAGTCAATGGAAGATTGTGAGAAGGGAGTGATTTCCCCTTTGTCATTGGGCATTTTGTTGTTTTAAAACCAGAATCCCAGGTTGAACTCCAGCTCCACACGTAACCAAGGTCACCCTTGAACTCTGGGTCCTGCCATTGCCCCCAGTCCTGGGTTAACAGGCGTGTGCTACCGCACATGGCTGAGCATAATCCCCCTCTTTGTAGCAATTTACAGTTCTCACAGGCCCTGACCGTGTTATCTTGTCACACAGAACTGTGGGATATCTGGCCCATGTCAGTGAGGCCAGCGCAGACCTGGAGAGGTTAAGGACCCTGGCCAAGGTCACGCCACCAGTGAAAGGCAAAGGCGTAGCAGGGACAGCTTGGTTTTCTTTTGTCTTTGTTTCTTTTCTTCCTTTTGATCCTTTTGTTTTGTTTTGTTTTCTGGCTTAGTCTGCCTTCCCTTTCTTCCTTTCCTCCTTTTCTCTTTTTTCTTTCCTTCAAATTTTCCTATCTGTTCATGTGACTGTGTCAGTGTCTGTGAGTCAAGGACAGCTTTCAGGAGGCAGCACTCTCCTCCCACTGTGTGGGACTGGGTACCAAACTCAGATTTAATAATCTGAGGCTTGGCAACGAGTACCTTTACCTGCTGAGCCATTTCTCCAGCTGTTTTGTGTTTGTTTTGTTTTGACAACAGGGTCTCAGTATGTGTCCCTGGCATTCAACTTCCCTGTATTAGCCTTCAAAGTGCAGGGTAACAGGCTTGTGTCACCTTCACCTCTGGCTCCTAGAAGCTGGTTTTTTGTTTTGTTTTGTTTTTTTAATGTTTTTGTTTTGTTTTGTTTTTCTAGACAGGTTTTTTCTGTATTGCTTTGGAGGCTGTCCTGGAACTTGCTCTATAGACCAGGCTGGCCTTGGACCCACAGAAATCTGCCTGCCTCTGCCTCCCACGTTCTGGGATTAAAATCATGTGTGTGCCACCACTGCCTGGCTGTTTATTATGTATACAGTGTTCTACCTGCATGCACACCTGCACTGCCAGACAGAAGAAGGCATTAATCCCACTATAGATGGTTGTGAGCCACCATGTGGTTGCTGGGAATTGAACTCAGTACCTCTGGAAAAGCAGCCAGTGCTCTTTACCTCTGAGCCAGCTCTCCAGCCCCTATACGCCAGTTCTTATGGGCATAAATCCAGAGGCTGTGTACAGAGATGGTGGGTGATTGGAAGACATGTGCTGGCACTGAAGGAATGCAGAGCAAGGAAATAAGCCTTTTTCAGAAACCCCCAGACCCCAGCAGAGCTGCCTGAAGAATCCCAGCTGAGCCGGGCGTTGGTGGCGCACGCCTTTAATCCCAGCACTCGGGAGGCAGAGGCAGGCGGATCTCTGTGAGTTCGAGACCAGCCTGGACTACTAAGTGAGTTCCAGGACAGCCTCCAAAGCCACAGAGAAACCCTGTCTCGAAAAACCAAAAAAAAAAAAAAAAAAAAAAAGAATCCCAGCTGAGGACACAAGTCTACAGACCTGAGACAACCTCCCTACAGTTCTGTTCTGTTCCCTGTGACCTTGGGGTAGTACATTCTCAGGCCTTAACCCGGAATTCCCAGGCCAGCAAACCTAGAGGGAGCACAGCATAGATTTTTTTTTGTTGATGTTTGCATGGCTGCTATGGCCTAAAGACAGTACTATGTGTGCTGGGCTGCTGACCTGCTACAGAGAGGTAGCCTAGCTCCAAAACGCCATTTTGGCTTATATTTTACTTAAATTTTAAAAATTATGTGTATATGTGTGTGCCTGTGTGTAGGTGTGTACATATGAGTGTAGGTACCCTTGGAAGCCAAAGGCATTGTCTCCCCTAAGGCTAGGTTGCGAGCCACCATGTTGGTACTGGGAATCAAACCCAGGTCCTTTGCAAGAGCAGAGCCATCCATTGGCCCAACAATGAGCCATCTTCATCCATCTTGATACAAGGTCTTATGTGGCCTTGACTGGTCTGGAACTTGCCATATAGATCAGGCTGTCCTTAAACCCACATCACAGAGGTCTGCCTGCCTCTACCTGCATGTTGGGATTATAGTTGAGTGCCACCACACTCCAAGAAGCCATCTTAACAGGTTTTGCCTGTATGACTATTAGATAAAGCAAGTACATTCGGTCTGAGTGTAGTGGTACACACCTGAAGTTCTCACACTCAGGAGGCTAAGAGAAAGGATCATGTGTGTCTCCTAGCCAGCTTGAAATACACATTAAGATCCTGTCTTGCATGGTGTGGTGGAGCACAAATTTAATCCCAGCACTGGGGAGGCAGAGGCAAGTGATCTCTGAGTTCCAGGACAGACAGGAAATAGAGAAATCCTGTGTTGGGGTGGGGGTGAGGATCCTGTCTCAAAAAAATGGAAAAGGCAGCATTCTGGGTACCCTACCCTGTGAGCAACACCCCACTCTCTGCACACCCCCTTCCAGGTGCGGTTTCCATCCCACTTCAGCTCTGACCTGAAGGACCTGCTACGGAACCTTCTGCAGGTGGATCTCACCAAGCGCTTTGGGAACCTCAAGAATGGGGTCAATGACATCAAGAACCATAAGTGGTTTGCCACAACTGACTGGATTGCCATCTATCAGAGAAAGGTGGGTTTCATTTTCCCCATTATGTCCAGAGGTAGGGAAAGGGGAAGAGTCATTAAGCCATGATCAAACAACAGGAGGCTTCCCGAACTGGTAAGGGAGTAGATATGGGATGCTGGGGTCTTCTGACCACTTGGGGCCTTGTGCAGGAAATATTCTCTGGGAAGTGACTTCCATTTGATGAGTTGGGTTAAAAAATAAAAAAGACACAGTACCCTAATGTTGAGCACAGGCCTGGGTCATAGCAAGTGTCTCCTGAATATTAAGCCATTCATTTTTATTGTTGTAATGGTGTAAGGTCAGCAGCTAACGAGCTCTGGGTGGTTCTTGATCCTTCTCCAGGTGGAAGCTCCCTTCATACCAAAGTTTAAAGGCCCTGGGGACACGAGTAACTTTGACGACTACGAAGAGGAAGAGATCCGGGTCTCCATCAATGAGAAATGTGGCAAGGAGTTTACTGAGTTTTAGGGGTGTGCTTGTGCCCCATGGTTTTCTTTCTTTTTTCCTTTTTTTTTCCTTTTTTTTTTTTTTTTTTTTTTTGGTTGGGGGTGGGAGGGTTGGATCGAACAGCCAGCGGGCCCTAGAGTTCTGTGCATCTAATTTAACACTCACTCCACACCCCCAAGTTAGGGAGAGCAGGAAAGCCAGATATTGGGGAGGGGCAACATCAGCTCCTCTCCCACTCCCCCATGACGCCCCTTCTCCCCACTTCTCTGCCTGTTTTCAATGACTTTCTCAGCTCCCATCACCCAGACTTACTGGTGTATAAAGGGCAGGGTATGGAAGAGGGGCCCAAATTCACCCCAGCCTCCACCCCACCCAGCACTGGGCACTAAGGATGAACAGAAAAGCCAGCCTTCCCTTCTATGCAGTCCTACTTGGAAAGGGAGATTTTAGTGACAGGTACAGAGGGCTGCTTGCTAGTGGATTTTTGTTTTTTTGTTTTGTTTTGTTTTGTTTTTTTGGTTTTTTTTAAATCTTCATTTAAATTAAGTTCCACCAGTGCCTCCCATCCTCCAGACTGCCCCTCCCCTCCAAAACCCCCTCAAAACGCCCCAAATCCACTCTGAGGCCGGGATAGCCAACTGACTCTGTCAAGGAAGGAACTGGGCTTTGAACCTCGCCCTGAGCTGCTAGCCTCCCGGCCCTCTTTTCCAGGGGTCTCATGCCCATTCTTCCGAGCATCAGCCCCCTTAAGCCCCTCCCCATCCTGGGCGCCTCACTTCAGCTTAGCTGTCAGCTGTCCATCACCTCTTGCTGTACAACCCCACTCACTGCACCCCCAAGTTTGATTGTGCTTTTCTCTCAATAGAAAGGTGGGGAGCTGCTGGGGAAATTACCCCATTTATCCCTGTGTTTATCCCTCTCGTAACTTCTCCCAAACAGGAGGAGCTCTCAGGCCTGGGTGGGGGCCCTGGGTGGGCGAGGGGGGCAGTTCAACCTGTGTGCTGCGAAGGATGAGACTTCCTCTTGAACAGTGTGCTGTTGTAAACATATTTGAAAACTATTACCAATAAAGTTTTGTTTTAAAATAAAAGTGTCGCTGGTATTCCCGACTTCGATCACACCCTCAAACCCTCAGGGTGTTGGAAGGGGAATTTCGGACCTCAGTGTCCAGGTTCTGGAGACCTTGGCTCCGGGACCCTGGAGAAACCGGGTTTAGCTGGAATTCCTGCACTTCCTCCGCCCCGCCAGAGAAAAGAGGGGTGGGGTGAGCAAACTGTCCTTTGACCCTGAGTTCGGGATCCTCAAATCTGCCCCAGCCCCTACTTCGTCTAGTCCGGGACCGCAAGGGCACTGGAGGGAGCTGCTCGGACCGATGCGGCCGAACTACAGCGGGATCGGCAGGGTAGAAGGAGAAAGGGGGAGCCCCGCGCGCCCCCAAGCCCTCGTCTAGGTGCGGCACGGCCGCTGGTGAGGTCTCCGCGGATCCCCAGGAGCGCGGCGCTTCGGGCCGCGACGCGGCTAGTTCCCGGTAAGTGCGGTCCCGAGAGCGCTGCGCGCGGAGAGGCGTGGAGAGGGGGCTGGGCGCCGAGGACGTCTGGGTCCCGCGCCCAATGGCTGGAGGGCGGCCGAACGCCGCCCGCGCGCCCCGCCCGCCCCTATCCCCTCCCCCCCGTGCGCTCCCCTCCCCCTCCCCCGCCCGCCGCGCTCCCCGCCCCCGCTCCGGCGCCAACTCCGCGGCGCCTCCTTAAAAAGCGCGCGGGAGTTGTAAGGGGGGGCCGGAGCGAGCCGGAGTGAGCTAGAGAGCCGGGTACACGGGGCGGGCGGGGGCCCGGGCTCCACCTTAAAAGCGGGCGCGTGGGGGTGGGAGGGAGCGAGGAAGGCGGGCAGCGGGGGAGGGCGAGCAGGAAGGGGGGCCGGAGTGTCCCGGGCGCAGGGCGCGCGTGCGGCGGCGGCGGCGGGGAGGGGCCGGCCGCGCCGCGCTCCCCTCCTCCCTCCTCGCATCCCCGGCCCCGCGCGCGCCCAGCAGAAGCGGGGCTGTTGTGTGCGTGCGTGCGAGTGAGTGAGTGTGTGCATATTTTTTCCTCTTTTCTTTCTCTCTCACTATTTTTTTTCTGTCTCTCGCGCGCTCTCCTCTCTCTCTCTCTTTTTTTTTTTTTTTTTTTTTTGCGAAGAAACAGCAGCGCCGCCGCCGCTCCGCCGAGGCGCTGCGCCCCCCGGGGGGAGGCGGAGGAGGCGGGCAGCGGCGGAGGGAGGGGAGCGGGGAGGGGGCGCCGCGCTGGGAGGGAGGCAGCGCGCACCGTGCAGCCGGGCCGGGCGGGAGGCATGGCGGGGCCCCCGGCCCTACCCCCGCCGGAGACGGCGGCGGCCGCCACCACGGCGGCCGCCGCCTCGTCGTCCGCTGCTTCCCCGCACTACCAAGAGTGGATTCTGGACACCATCGACTCGCTGCGCTCGCGCAAGGCGCGGCCGGACCTGGAGCGCATCTGCCGGATGGTGCGGCGGCGGCACGGCCCGGAGCCCGAGCGCACGCGCGCGGAGCTCGAGAAACTGATCCAGCAGCGCGCCGTGCTCCGGGTCAGCTACAAGGGGAGCATCTCGTACCGCAACGCGGCGCGCGTCCAGCCGCCCCGCCGCGGAGCCACCCCGCCCGCCCCGCCGCGCGTCCCCCGCGGGGGCCCCGCCGCGCCGCCGCCCACGCCCGCCCCGCCGCCCGCGCCCGTCGCCGCCCCGACCCGGGCGCCCCGCGCGGCCGCCGCCACAGCGCCCCCTTCTCCCGGCCCCGCGCAGCCGGGTCCCCGGGCGCAGCGGGCCGCGCCCCTAGCCGCGCCGCCACCAGCGCCCGCCGCGCCCCCGGCCGCGGCGCCCCCAGCCGGCCCGCGCCGTGCACCGCCGCCCGCCGTCGCCGCCCGGGAGCCACCACCGCCGGCGCCGCCACAGCAGCAGCAGCCTCCACCGCCGCAGCCACAGCCGCCGCCGGAGGGGGGCGCGGCGCGGGCGGGCGGCCCGGCGCGGCCCGTGAGCCTGCGGGAAGTCGTGCGCTACCTCGGGGGCAGCGGCGGCGCCAGCGGCCGCCTTACTCGCGGCCGCGTGCAGGGGCTGCTGGAAGAGGAGGCGGCGCGGGGCCGTCTGGAGCGCACCCGCCTGGGAGCGCTCGCACTGCCCCGCGGAGACAGGCCGGGACGGGCGCCGCCGGCCGCTAGCGCACGCGCGGCGCGGAGCAAGGTGAGCGCACCGGGCAGGTGCGGGCGAAGTTGGCGGGGACTAGAGTCCCGGGAGGGAGCGGAGTGTCAGGTGGCCGGGGTTCGTCTACAGTCCCTGCGGACTCGGAACGCGGTGATCTTGGTCAGTGACCTGATCTGCCGGAGCCTCAGTTTCCTCGGCTGTAAACCGAGAATTGCTGACGGTAGCGACCCCTGGGGGTTGTTGAGCGAGTTTAGTAAGACTTGGCTATTGAGGGCTTTATTAACCCGGAGCCTGGCACGGAAACGACAGTGTAAAAGTTATTCCGTGTTGTTGTCAAAGGTGGCGTCGGACACTGGATTCCATCCGGGACTAGAAGAGCTCTAACTCTGCCTGCTTCTTTCTCTGGCCCCAGAGAGGTGGAGAAGAGCGGGCGTTTGAGAAAGAAGAGGAAGACGATGATGAAGAGGAGGAGGAGGAGGAGGACAATGTATCAGAGGGCTCAGAAGTGCCTGAGAGTGACCGCCCCGCAGGTGCTCAGCACCACCAGATTAATGGCGAGCGGGGCCCTCAGAGTGCTAAGGAGAGGGTCAAGGAGTGGTCGCCCTGTGGACCCTACCAGGGCCAGGATGAAGGGCGGGGACCAGCACCTGGCAGCTGCACACGCCAGGTGTTCTCGATGACAGCTGTGAATAAAGAAGGGGGATCAGGTAAGGACCCCTCTGGGTTGGTCGGGCAGTGCAGGACAGAGAACTGTGCACCGTAGCCTGGAGACTGCCACCTGCTTTTCCTTTCCCAGCTTGTGTTGCGGCTGCTCCAGATTCTCCGTCTCCTGTGCCTTTGCCCCCAGGAAAACCAGCCCTACCTGGGGCTGATGGGGCACCATTTGGCTGTCCGTAAGTTGAGGCATTAGGGACTTGGGCTTAGCGCCGGGGTGTGTTGGACAGTCAGAGCTGTATGTATCGTGGTCACTGTTGTTCTCCAATGTCATGCAGCCCTGGGCGCAAAGAGAAACCAAGTGACCCAGTGGAGTGGACGGTCATGGATGTGGTGGAGTACTTCACCGAGGCAGGGTTCCCCGAGCAGGCCACTGCTTTTCAGGAGCAGGTGAGTTCTCACCCGGCCCGCTCATGTCTGCGCACACAGAGGCCTCTTGGGTGTGCACTGACCCCACCGTGTCTGTCCTCCCAGGAAATAGATGGCAAGTCTTTGTTGCTCATGCAACGGACAGATGTGCTGACCGGCCTGTCCATCCGCCTGGGCCCAGCCCTGAAGATCTACGAGCACCATATCAAGGTGCTTCAACAAGGCCACTTTGAGGATGATGACCCTGATGGTTTTCTAGGCTGAGCGCCAGCCTTGCCCCTCCAGCCAGTCCAGATCTCCCCCACGGCGGCCCCAGTTGTCCAGGGAGTGGACATGGGGACACCCTCAACTTTCCTAACAGACTCCAGTGAGGGGTACCCTCCTCCATCCCAGTCTCTCACATCCCTACCTTAGTACATCCCCTCTCCACACAGTGGAGTGCGGGGTAGGTGGACTTGGTTGGCTCATTACAGGGGCCGCCCTTTCTCCCCAAACTGGGACATTTTTGAAAAACAAAGGGGGAACTTCCTGTGGCCCCCAAACCCTCTTCAGTTCAGCCAGATGTATCTTATATACGTGTTTTGTTCTGCCTATCCTTCCTGGTGGTGGGTTTTCCCCGTCCACCGCCGGTGCCCTCCCCCACACCTTGAGCTCCAGCCTCTGGAGAACAGGTGAGGTAAGGGACCTTGGGTCCTCTGGTTCCTCCCCTTTCTGTCTGTCCTTTGTTGCTCCACCTGGCTGTATTGCTTTTTAATATTGCACCGAAGGTTTTTTAAATAAAACTTTAAAAAAAAAAGAGTCTATTTTCTGAATGCAGGCAGGAGGTGCTAAGACCCCGGAAGAGTTTAACATGGGGGCAGAGTGTTTTGGGAAGGCAGGAGGAATGGTGTGGCTTTGCTCTGCCCGCCACGGCAGGGCTGACTGCAGTAGGGTAGTCCTCGGCAAGTATGCAGAATGCCTTCCATCCCCAACACTGACAAAAAGGAAATGGTGTTTGCAGCCCACCGGTCACCCTCTGCACTTCAGGGGTAGTAGCACGATGGAGAATTCAAGGCTAGCCTTCGCTACGTGCAGTTCTGTATCAAAAAAAAGAAGAAAAATCTAAGACCAGAATAGTTCCTTTGTCGTCTGTCATCTCGTTCCAGAACCACCTGCTCAAGTGTTTGTTGAATGACTAACAGTTAACTGCACACTTGCTGAGTGGTTTTGTAGTTTCATGAACAGGCGTGATAGAAACTCATTTTATAGAATGGGACAACTTATTTTGGCACAGTCAAAAGGGTGAGGGTCACACAGAACAATGTGACACCTGTTGCTGCTTTACTGTGAGCCTTGTGATTAATGCATTTGGCTTGCTAGCTGTACTTAAATGCCAATCAGTTTTTGCACGTGGCCAGGAATTCAGTCTACAAGTGTAAGAGGTTTTGTAGGACCAGGGCAGGCATATTGGAACAAAGGAGACAATGGGATAAGCCAGATCACCTGTCTGAGATCTTTATTGTAAAAGTAACTGCTCCTTCACTAGTCTCTTGTAGGCTCACATGCAGATCCCTCCTCCATTAGTGAAGGGTCAGATCTTGGGGGGTCACCTGCTGGGGAGGCGCCTAGGTCTCCACCTTCACTCCTGGATTCCTAACATGTTAGGAACCCCCTCCAGCCCACTCAACGGCTTGGGAGAGAAAAGGCGCCTACTCCCTGCGGCCACCACAAGACAGGTCTGGGGCTCCGCCCTTGGCATCGCCCTGCCCCGCGCGCCAGGTGCCCGCTGAACTCCATGCGCAGTGCAAGCCCAGGCTGCGCGGGCCTCCGCGTGCTCAAATTCAAAAGAGGCAAAAGCCCGTGGGGCGGTGCCGGCAGAGACGTCGAGGTTGGGTCGAGGGGTCGCGGCTGCGCTCACTACCCCACCCGGTCGGTCCCAGGTGTGCTGCTTTCCCGGGACGCGGCGGAGGCTGGAAGAGCCTGCGGTGGACGCCGATGGCTGCGGAGCCCTGGTTCGCTGGGTCACTGGCCCTGGGCCCTGGAGAAGCACTGCCTTCGGACGAATTGGGACCCGGGCCGCCGCCCTATGGAGACCCCTCGTGGTCGCCCGCCAGGAGACCGGAGGCCTCAGTGGAGCAGGAACCTCAGCGGGCACAGCAACTGATGGAAGCCCCAACCTCCACGTCCTCCCGGGAACCACTGGCAGCGGAGCTGGGGCCGACCCAGGCTCGACTCCCACTGGACTCCATGTTCAGCCCCATCACTGACCAGCTCCGTTACCTGCTCAGGAAGGCGGATGACTTTCAAAGCTACTTGCTCTACAGGTGACCCTGTACAGGGGGCCTAGGTCCCAGGACAGGACAGGCTGTGCAGTCCACACAAAGGCCGAAAACTGAACTCAGGGCCCAGAGTACATGAGGCCAGCTGATTACGAATGTACTTTACCAGTGTGCCGAGGGCTGTGGAGAATAGAGAGGCAGGGGCAGGCAATGTGTGGGCCTTTAGGATACAAGAATCTTTCTTTGGTTGGTTGGTTGATTTGCCCAGTTTTCCGTTTCTGTGAGATAGGATTTCATCACATTCGAACTGGAGACCCTCCTAAGCAGTCTGCTTGCTTACCAAATTGGAAATGGTGGCTTAGTGTTTTTTTTTTTTCTTTTTCCAAATCCCCTGTAAGTCAGCTAAACAAAACCTATCCCCATCAGCTCTGGCCAGAGGACTTCAGTGTGAGAGGCCACTCTTCACTCCCAAAGAAAAATGCAATTTCCGGAGCAGGGGAAAGGGATTGATTGTGATGTCTGTAGGAGGCTGGCTTAAATCCCAGCTTTCTGCGCGCCACTCAGCAGAGCTGAGACAAGAAGTCAGTTGCATGCACCCCAAACACACTAGTGGTGGAACTCAGACCCTTGTACGAGGCTGCATTCTCAGCCAGGTGTCAACATTTTAACAAATTATTCCAAATAACTGGTGCAGGTGTTTCTGAAAGATGGCGAGAGAAAGATTTGACATGCTGAGCACTGAGGCTAAAGCTTGACTTAACCTCCCAGTCCCCTCTTTATGTTTAATTTTTGGGCGCTGGGGATGGCACCCAGGGCTCTGCATGTGCTCTAACCAGTAGGCCACAGCACTGGGAGAACTTTGTAATGGATTCTGCCAGGGATACGGGTGAAAGGATGAGCACGGGGCTCCTGGGGAGGAGTGAGAGTGATGCTACCTGAAGGCCTCTTTTTCCCTTCAGCAGGGACCGAGTTCAGAAGGAACAGCTAGCCAAGGCCATGCCCACCTTCCTAACAATGTGTGAGCCTTACTTCCTGTACCTCGAGGCTGCTGCAAGGAGTGTCCCTCCCATCTATGGAGCCCTGCAGGAGTTGGTCCGGAAGGGGGTATGTACCGTAGCTATTTTACCAGGCCCCTTTCTTTGGACCCTGCCCGGGGTAGAGGGTTGCTTCTGGCCGACCGTCTGAGGTCATGAAGTCCCGCCTTCTGTGCAGCTGTTGGAGATCTCCCAGCAGTTAACTCTGCGCTTGGAACAGTTAGTTCTCATGTATGCCTCCTTTGGGTTCGTGGACCTGGAGGAAACTAACCCTTTGAGGTAAGGGGGCAGGAAATGAGGCTGTGGGGTGGCAGAGTCCAGGGCCCAACTTGCTGTCCAATCTCCTATCTCCTGCTAGTATCTCCTGCTTCTTCTGCGGGAGGTTCTCCATTAGCCCCGCCCACGACGTGTCCATCTTCCGATACTGCACCCCAGCTGCGTACACTGCCAGCCACTTCCCGAGATACCTCTACAAGAAGATGCGCTGGAACCTGGAAACCACCACAGAGGCCAGCAGCCAAGGACCAGACTCCCATGTGGATTAGTGAGTTTCCTTGTCAAAATTAAAGTCCTCCCCTTCCTAGGAGCTTGCGCCTCCACACCACCACGGAGTGGAAAGCGAGACAGGAATGCAGTGCTGGAATAAAACCCAGGGCCATGTGTATACCGGACAGCACTGTATACAACTGAGCTCTACCTTCTGTCTTTTGTTGTTTTTGTTTTATTTTTCGAGACAAGGTTTCTCTGTGGCTTTGGAGGCTGTCCTGGAACTAGCTCTTGTAGACCAGGCTGGTCTCGAACTCACAGAGATCCACCTGCCTCTGCCTCCCGAGTGCTGGGATTTAAGGCGAGCGCCGACACTGCCAGGCTATCTTTAGTTTTCTTAACACTACCTTCCTATTAAAATATTCATCTTCAGATCAGGCCACCAGGGAGGAAAGTCCCCAGCACTGAGTCACATTGCTACCTGAGAACTTCAGGCAACTTCTCATGCACTCGAACCTCCCCTCCAGAATTAAAGCCCTCAGCAGAAAAACCTAAGGAATTGCTTTTCCTCTCAGCTACTTCTTATGTTATCGAGATACATGGGAGGATACAGGCCAGGGTCCAGCCAATTCGTGCCCCCAAATCCAGAAACTCTGGTCCATCGGCCGATGGATACCCCTAGCACCAGCAGAGGACGACCTTGACTCGTGGTAGGATGGCTATGGGATTTGACTCGTGGTAGGATGGCTATGGGACTTGACTCGTGGTAGGATGGCTATGGGACTTGACTCGTGGTAGGATGGCTATGGGACTTGAGGTCTGAGGGAGGGTGGGACGGAACCCTACCAAAGACTGGATCTCAGAGTAGCAGGGATTACATTGTACTGTGCCCTGAAGAGTGCGTTATGCAGACTAAAGGGAATTCATAGAGGTGTGGACCAGTGCATTTTACAAAAAAGAAAACATGTTTTCAGTGTGGATAAGTTGCTCTCCCAGGGAGACACAGCAGCCTCTCAGGTGCAATGCTTTAACTCAGGAGTTTGTCAACAGAGGAAACACTTTCCCTTAGGGTATCCCCAACCCCTAACTTAAAGCCCCTCCCAGCCTTGAGGAGCAGAGGTGAGGTGCTCAAGTCCAGGCTTGTTTCCACGCCCCCAGGATTTTATGCCCGCAGCCACTCGGGGACTACCAGCAGCTACTAACCATCGGCTTCGAGGAGCCCTCGCATGTGCTGGCTACCGACCTGCTGGTACAGATCCTCGTGGGCCAGGTAGGCCCCGCCCAGCCCCCCAGCACTGCCGGGCCCTTGGCTTGGGCTGCCCCAGCATCCTGAGCCCCAGGAGAAGACGCCAGCCCGGGCTTGATAGCCCCAAACTCCAAGGCAGGAACAGGGGCGGGCTGCACTGAGTATGCCCCGGCATGAGCCACGGAACAGCAAGTGCGGACACACTTTTCTGTTAATAAAAGAGTGAGGTCAGAGGTTCTGTATCTCCTGTGAGCACCGCGTCCCTCCCCTGGGAGTGGGTGAGCTCCGCCCACCGAGAGGCCTTCTGGGAAGTGTAGTCCGCAGATGTCGTCGAGCTAGCTGCGCGTGCGCAGATGCGAACATGAGTCAAAGAGGGAAGTAGCAGCTCTCGTCAGCAACCGGAACCCAGAAAACAAGTTTCTGGTAGCAGGAAAATTGTAGGCCAGCTGGAGGAAGACTTAGACCTACGCCCGCTTTTTTTTTTTAACCCGGAAGTGATTCCTATTCAGAGGGGTTTTTTTTGGTTTTGTTTTTTTCAAAAGCTCAACTACATTTCCCGATGTGCCCTAGCAAACTGCAGGGGATCAGTTTGCAGAGTGGAGTCAGACTTTCTTCCAGCATTTGGGGGTGTCCGAGCCGAGCTGATTGTTGTCCCACGAAGAGTGTCTGGAGTACAGGCTAACAGAGAGCTGTCAGCCTCGCAGCAACCTTAGGCTATCGAGGAAGCTCTAGCTGAGAGAAATGAACACCCCTGCTCTGAGAAGCTCTGCTCTCAAACCTGGGTCTTCTGAGCGAAACCGGCCCCTGTGTAGGAATGTGATCATCCTTCTCCCCTATGTCACTCTGAGAGGTTGATATTTGGATCCTAAAATTTTCACATTCAGGGTCAGAATGTAAGACTCAGAACCATGACTTTGTAGGTTTGATTTTTTAAGAGTAATTTTTGCCTTTAATCCCAGCACTGGGGCGGTAAAGGCAGGTGGATCTCTGACTTTGAGGCCAGCCTGGTCTACAGAGCGAGTTCCAGGATAGCCTCCAAAGCCACAGAGAAACCCTGTTTTGAAAAGCCAAAAAAAAAAAAAAAGACAAAAACAAAAGAGTAGCTTTTATTAGACGGAGATGGTAGCACACATAGTACTTGGGAAAACCAAGGTAGGTGGGTCTCTGTGAGTTCGAGGTCAGCCTGATGTACAGAGTGAGTTCCAAGATGCCAGGGCTATGTAGAGAGACCCTATCACTCTCAAAAACAGTATTTTGTTTCCTGAGTAGAGTTTTCCCTGCTTGCCCACAGAGGCCAGAAGAGGGCATCGGACACCATGGGACTGGAACTGTCAGCCACTGTGGATGCAGGAAACCCAACAAAGGTCCTCTCAAGAGCCCCAGCACTCATTAGCAGAGCCGTCTTGCCAGCACTGTTCTTTTTTAAATCCAGCTGGAGTGTTAGTGTATAGCTCAGACTGGTCTTTTCTTCCAGCCTGGGCCTCCAGAGTGTGCTACCATGCTTGTGTTTCAGTAAGTTGGCCGACAACACCTGGTACACACTGCTACAAACCCGTTTTAAGCAGATGTGAAAAGTGGGCGGACTGCAGGCTACACACCAAACCGCAGCTCTTCCCGAGAGGCATCTGTAACCACTGATGCCCCCGTTATGTTTTACCCCACAGCTCAGGTAGAATACCTCCAAGACTGTTCTATTCCTCCTAATATTGATTTGGGTTGCTGCTGTGCCTGGTCTCATGTCCCCTGTTAAAATCTTGGGGGCTCAAAACCATTTGTAACTCCAGTTCTAGGGGATCCAATGCCTTTTCTGGCATCTGCAGGCTCCAGGCACACATGTACACAGAACTGCAAGAGATAACACTCATACACATAAGTATAAATGCTGATGTCAGGGTTTGGGGGTGTGGCTGAACTTAGCATCGCAAGGCTTAGGTTTGAGCCCAGTACTACAAAAGAGACCCGACTGAGCATAGTGGTGAACACCTGTGATCCCAGCCCTCAGGAGCCAAAGGCTTGCTGCAAGATGGAGGCCAGCCTGGTTAAAGTGAGACCTTGCTTAATAAAACAGGGGGCTAGCACTAGGGAGGCAGAGACATGTGGATCTCTGGGAGTTTGAGGCCAGCCTAGTCTACTGAGATCCAGGACAGCCTCCAAAGTTACAGAGAAACCCTGTCTCAGAAAACAAAACAATAGCTGGGCATTGGTGGCGCACGTCTTTAATCCCAGCACTCGGGAGGCAGAGGTAGGCGGATCTCTGAGTTCAAGACCAGCCTGGACTACCAAGCGAGTTCCAGGACAGCCTCCAAAGCCACAGAGAAACCCTGTCTCGAAAAAACCAAAAAAAAAAAAAAAACCAATAACAAAAAATGGGGGTGTTTGTCATGTACTTGTCACACAAGTTGTTTGAATCCTGGGACCCACCTAAAGGCGGGAGGAGAGAACTGACCCCAAAAAGTTGTTCTCTGACCACTACACATATGTAGTAGCACACTCCCCATCATAGACATACACAGTAATAGATATGCAGTGTATGAGGGTTCACACTTTTAGTCTCGGTGTTTGGGAGGCAGAAGCAGGCAGGCAGATCTTTGTGAGTTCTAAGCCAGCCAGGACTACATGGTGTGGGAGGGAGCACTGGAGAGAGAGAGGTTCAGTTCTCTGTGTGGCTGGCAACTATCTGTAACTCCAGTCGCAGCATCTATAGCATCAAACACCCTTCCCCAGGCACACCAGGCATACATGAGTACACACACCTACATGCAGGCAGAACACTCGACGTATTTTTAATTTAAAAAATAAAATAAGGTGGGCAACCTCTGGGGGACATCTGAGACTGACCTTTGTCTCACATGCACAGGTGTGTGCATTCACCTGAACTGTCACACAGACATACCACACCCACTAGAGAACAGCGTGTGATTCCATTTGCCATCTTAGGGGCTCTCCAGTGTCTTCCCATCAGTCCCCAAGTCACAGCCAAGCGTATGACGATGGAGGGCCTCCTTGGGCTAAGTAGCTCCTGGGTGAATCACTGGATGGACCTTCCCCTGTTTTATTTGTTGGCATTTCATTAGTCACTTGCTGTAAGCTAGAGGTCAGCCTGATCAACATAGGGAGATAAGAGCCAGAACTGACAAAATTTTAAACCATAATGCTAGGATTTCATTATTTGTGTGCCAGCATGTGTGTTATTGTGTACATGCCACGGCATATGTGTGGAGTGTCAACCCTGGTCTCCCACCTTGTTTCAAACAACTGGTGGTGTACTCTGCACACGAGGCGTCTGTGCTCACTAGCTGCCCCCAAGCTTCCAGGGATTCCCTCTCATTTCCTAGAAAGACCCTCCAGGAATTTGCATGCACCATGGTTTTTTACTTGGTTTTGGGGATCTGAATTCAGATTATCAGGCTGGCATGACAAATGCCTTACCCACTGAAGACATCTCCTCAGCCCCTCAATTTATTATTTACATATCTTTTGAAGTCAAGGTGTCAGACTAGGCTCAAGCTCCCAGTGTAGTTGAGGATGACCTTGAACTTTCGATTCTGCCTGTTCCTACCTCAGTCATTACTGGTATGCACCACTGTTTATGTGTTTCCATGCAAGTACTTTACCAATTGAGCTGTATCCCCAGCCGTATACAATAGATCTACAATGTTTGAGGTCCTGCTTTTTCTGATCCTAGCCACTTTTTTGTTTTTCAGGATTTCTCTGTATTGTTTTGGAGGCTGTCCTGGAACTCACTCTGTAGACCAGGCTGACCTCAACCTCACAGAGATCTGCTTGCCTTTGCCTCCCCAGTGTTAGGATTAAAGGTGTGAGCTGCCAACGCCCGGCTCTTTTCCTAGTCACTTCTAAGAAGCTGTAGAAATACTCTGGTGTTATGTGAATCACACAGATGCTGTTTGTCAGACAGTTTAGAGTGTTTACCAGAAGTTAGGCAGGGTTTGCAGTGTGTCAACCACTGACCACTCCCACTCCCCCCCCATAGGTCACTCTGTAGACCAGGCTGTCCTCGAGCTCACAGAAATCTGCCTGCCTCTGCTTCCCAAGTGCTGGGATTAAAGGCATACGCCAGGCTAAGATTTGTTTTTTAATTAAAGGATATTTTATTTTCAAAAATATGCATGTGGCCTGCCACGGTGGCGCACACCTTTAATCCCAGCAATCGGGAGGCAGAGGCAGAACGATCTCTGTGAGTTCAAGGCCAACCAGGTTTACATAGTGCCAGGACTACATAGAAGAGGGAGCCTATCTTTAAAACAAATGTGTGTGTGATCAGACATGCAAGTGTGCCTGTGTATTCCAGAGTGCCAGAGGAATCCAAAAGAGGGGTCTGTCTGATCTTCTGGAACTGGAGTTACAGGTAACTGTGTACCACTCAAAATTGTGTACTTGAAACTAAACCTGGGTTATCTGCATGAGCAGCAAGCAGGTGTTGCCCCCACCCCCACCCCTACTCACCCATGAGTTCTTCAAGACAGGGTTTATCTGTGTAGCCCTGGCTATCCTGGGACTTACTAGACTAAGCTGGCCTCAAACTCAGAGATCCACCTGCCCAAGTGCTGGGATTAAAGGTGTGTGCCACCATCACTCTAAAGAGCGGCAAACACTCTTAACTGCAGAGCCAGCCTTCCAGTCCTGAGTTTCTCTTTTAGGAACAGTTCCAAGGCTAGATAGATGGCTCAGTGGTTAAGAGCACTTGCTGTCCTTGCAGAACACCTGGGTTCAGTTCCCAGCACCCACCTCAAGTAGTTCATAACTGTAACTCCAGCTCTAGGGGGTCCACCACCCTCTCTGGGCTCCAAAGGCATATCTGTACACCTGAATGCTCATGCATACACCCCAATACACACTCACGCACACAGTTAAAATAAATCTTATGGCTAGAGAGATAGCTCTGCAGTTAAGGATACTTTTTGGAGGACCAGGGTTCAGTTCCCAGCACTCACATTGTGCCTCACAACCATCAACAACTAGTTTCAGGGGGATCTGGCACCCTCTTTTCACTTCTGCAGCCAACACACACAAGTGGAACACACACACAATATAAATCCAAAACATAATTTTTTTTTTGGTTTTTCGAGACAGGGTTTCTCTGTGGCTTTGGAGGCTGTCCTGGAACTCGATCTGTAGACCAGGCTAGCCTCGAACTCACAGAGATCCGCCTGCCTCTGCCTCCCGAGTGCTGGGATTAAAGGCGTGAGCCACCACCGCCCGGCTCAAAAAATAA